CTGCTACTCAAACTCTACTATATTGCATAGTTAATGAACGCTGGCAGGATGAAACACCTTTGAAGGTGAGGCAGCCTGGGTGGCTCAGTCAGTTAAGCATCTGCCTTCAGCTCAGGGCATGGTCCCAGAGTCCAAAGATCAAGTCCCATATTGGGTTCCTTGCTCAGCGGGCGGAGCCTGCTTCTCCCTCTGCCTGCCACTCCCCCTGCTTGTGCTCTCTCTCTCTCTGACAAATAAATGGATGAAATCTTTAAAAAAAAAGAAAAGAAAAAAACACTTTTGAAGGTATAAGCTAAAACTAAAAAAAAATAAATAATAATCCTGCAGTTAAAAACCATATACATTTTATAATTTGAGGAGAATATATATATTCCTCATGACCTGAGCCACAGTCAAGGTCAGACACTTAACAAACTGAGTCACCCAGTCTCCCCAAAAGAATATTCTTAACATAAAATTATAAAATTGTTTTTAACATGTTGATGTTGTCATATACTTAGGTTTTTCCAATACAGAAGTCTCTTTTAATGATTTGCTCTTTTTTTCTTGATGATAAAATATTTTTCCAGGAAAATGCTGAATAAGTCTTTGTTGAAATACACTACATTGCTTTCTGTCAGTGACCCTAAAGTAATACAGAATTTATACTTCAGTGGTTGCAGTGCTCAAACTTGACAGGTAGTGCCTTATGTTTGATGATAGAAACAAAACAAAAAAAAGGTATGGCATAAGTCTAAGTGGTTTTGTGTTTATTTAGTTTTGAGGAGAAATTAATTGATTTAACATATTGGTGCCAAAGCACAAAGTCTAGACAGCTGATTCTTCATATTTTTAAAATTATTGCAGATGTCACTGTGTCTAAATGTGTATTTTTAAAGCTATCTGTATCTCCTTATGTGTGTTATTTAAATTGCCATAAATCATGGAAATACAAAACAAAGCTATCCTGGAATAGGATAATTTTTAAAATGGCGCTTTCATTTTGTTATGCAAATGTTGTCTACTTTTCCCTTAGAAAGAACGAACTTATCCAGAACTTTTTACACAACATTCTTATAATTGGAATTGAATTAGGGTTGGAAAACAGTACTTCTAGAGGAATCAGTAGTAATATGCATGTTCATTCATTTCATTAATGGAATATTTAATGAGCTATCAAATTGAGATTGAGGTTACTACTGAATGCCTGAAGTACAGGAATTACTTATTGAAAGAAAACCTCTGTTTTACTTGTTCATGTAGAAGTAGGAGAGTTGACCTGGCAATATGAACTATTGTAGAGCCTGGCTGAGTGCCTGTTATATGAATTGCTACTACACCAAAAATAGGACTGTGTTGAAAAATAGCCTTTTCCTCCGGAATTAGTTTTAAGGCTGCAAACTTATTTTAACTGTTATTTAGTTAGGGGCACCTGGGTGGCTCAGTTGGTTGGGCATCTGACTCTTGATTTCAGCTCGTGTCATGATCTCAGGGTTGTGAGATTGAGCCCCATGTTGGGCTCTGTGCTGGGCATGGAGTTTGCTTAAGAGTCTCTTTCCTTTTCCCCTGCTCTCTCTCTAATAATAATAATAATAATAATAATAATTTAGTTAATATTTCAGAATTCTTTATTATAAAAAGCAGGAAGAAAAAGAAGACATTGAACATATAATACATTTGTTTTCAAGCAGGTCAACTTCTGCTTGAATCCAGAGGTGCATATGGGGGTCAGAGCTTCAAATGCACGATCAGATAAATAAAATAGATCCCTAGCCCCATTGAGTTATTGAACATTTAAATACATACCATAAAACGTATGCCAAAAAATCATTCTATTCTTGGAATAGTTAGTAATCTAGTGTATACCTAAATTGTAATTTGCCAACAGGCTAACTGGCTACATTTTTGGTTTTTAACAGGGTAATAATTTTTTCCCTACAGTTCTGAGTTTCGATATAAGCATCAAGTCATGTATGGCCACTACAAATCTTCGCATACTTCTGACCACTGGCTGTCACTGATCATCCTACATATCTGTCGTTTTGCCTGTTCTAAAATGTCACATAAGTAGAATATATGAGAATATTCTTAACAGTTTTATTCATAGTATTTAAAAACTGGAAACAATCCAATGTGTAAATACAATCTATGTGGATAAGATCCACAGATCTATAATGTATTGAGCTGTCCTAGATTGTTGAGAAAAATTTAGCAGAGTGACAGATCTGTAACTTGGAGGAGAAAAAGAGTCCCCCTTTTATAAAGAATATCATCAAAAATTCTTAACATATCTTAATGAAATTAAAAATGAAAGGATGAAGAAAATATATTGATGAGGCTTGAGACCTCAGAGTTAATTATGTGAGTAAATTATCTTTTTTTTCAATAAAAAACCCTATTTTTATGAAGCTTTTTCAACTTAATTGTCCCATAATAAACAAGATTAATTGCATCCTAGTCAGGGAGAATTCCGGTATCCACAGAATCAAAGATGAAAGTCAAAATCACAGGATAGATTAGGAAAATAATGTCATCAATCAAAATTTGTCCCTTTAAGTTTGTTTAGCAAGGAAATATGTTGAACAAATTTTTCTCAAAGTCTACATTTATTATTGGATTCAATTTAACTTAACATTACTGGATAGAAGCAGCATTTTTCAAAAGTAAAATTGTTTCATTTATTTAACAAACACCTACTAGTGGTCTATTTAGCAGTAGACACCATGGTATATGCTGGGATTATAAAGATAAATCGAATACAACCTCTGATTTCAGGTAATCCAGATGATGATCGAGGATATAGAAAGCCACAAAAAATGGATATAACAGGTGATATATGCGACAATACAGCATAAATCAATTCCTGGATTTATTGACCTTTGTAAAAGCAATTTCAGTATTAGGAGGATGATTTTGGAATCCAGAGGAAGAAGAGAGAAATAACACTTGATTTTAAAATTTGAGGAAAACTATGGTTTTTGAAGTTTTTATTTTAATTCCAGTTAGTTAACATACAGTGTTACATTAGTTTCAGGTGTACAGTATATGATTCAACATTTCCATACATCACCTGCTGCTCATCACAAGTGTCCTCGTTACTCCCCATCACCTGTTTCATGCATACCCCTATCCACCTCCCCTCTGATAACCATCAGTTTGCTCTCTATAGTTAAAAGTCTGTTTCATGGTTTGTCTCTCTCTACTCTCTCTCTCTCTTTTCCCCCTTTGCTCATTTGTTTTGTCTCTTAAAGTCCACATATGAGTGAAATCATACAGTATTTGTCTTTCTCTGACTTATTTTACTTGGCGTAGGGTAGCTCTTTTTTTTAACTCTTTGAGGAACCTCCATACTGTTTTCCAGAGTGGCTACACCAGTTTGCATTCCCACAACAGTGCACGAGGCTTCCTTTTTCTCCACATCCTTGTCAAAACTTGTTGTTTCCTGTGTTGTTGATTTTAGCCTTTCTAACAGTTATGAGGTGATATCTCATTGTAGTTTTGATATGCATTTCCCTGATGATAAGTGATGATGAGCATCTTTTTATGTGTTCTTTTGGCCATCAGCATGTCTTCTTTGGAGAAATGTCTCTTCAAGTCTTCTGCCCACTTTTAATTGGATTATGCTATCAGTAGCTAATATCACAAACAAAATATACAGCTAGGGAGGGATCATCATTAACACTATTTGCTATAAATTCAAATTTTATTTTCTTCTTGATAATTGCATTTCTTATTGGTTTCATATGTGATCTCAGCATATCACTATTATTTTGAATTTATGCTATAACTCATAAAGCACACAGACCAGAGTAGGCAAACTATCAGTTCACCACTCTTCCTCTGTGGTTTGCTTATGCGTTCATTGAGGATATTCCCTTAATATATGGATTGTTTGCGCAAGGTTTTTAAAGGCACTTATCCATTTTATGAAACTTAACTTTTGTCTGTATCTAATATATGTATCCCATGTGCATGAATTTGTTTAACAGAGCACAGGTAAGCAGTAGTACATCACAATAGACTGAGAACCAGCCAGTAAATGAGAAAACTGTGTCCCACCCCTTTGAACTGTGGAGCTGCCATTCTCATTCAAGTTACCCTGCTTATCCTATGTTACTTCTGCATCATCTGACACATTGACTAAATGAGAGTGCACATGTTAGCCTGCACATGAATATTAATATAGCCTATTTTATTTTTTCTTCTTTAGATTAAAAACAAATATATTCAGAATTTCAAATATTTTGTCTTATGCCCCAGTGGATTACCTTGTTCATCCTGTGAGGCAGGTGCATTCTATTTTGGAATCTATGGCTTTGATAAAGAGAAGTTTCTGAAGAAGGGAAGTGAGATGGTCAGATGTAAATTTTTGATCATTTTCATCACTGACCCAAATTTAGCAATAAAGTTGTATTGAGAAAGACTATAGTCAGGAAGGCCAAATAAGAGGTTATTCTTTATTGTCCAGGCCAGAAACTGTGAGATATGGCAGGAGTGATGATATGATAGAAATGAAACTCAAAGTTCAAGAGTTGGTGAATCATTAGTAGCTACTAAGGTAGAAGAAAGAATGAGGAGTGACTTTCTGATTCCTAACTAAAGAACAGTTGTTGGTTTGTTTTTTGTTTTGTTTTTTTTTAACTTTCGGAACAAAGAATGAATTCTTATATGCTATGTTGCTTTTTCCAGGGGGGGAAAAAGTCATTGGTGGTTTTATTCCTTCCTGATACCATGCAGTATCTGTAGCAGTGTTTTCATTCATTTTATAGGTACTCCCTTGGAGCCTACACCTGCACTAGACACTGATTCTTTGCAAATATCAGATAAGGTTATCCTCAGGCCTGCATTCAATTCTTATTCAATATGATTCTCCTAAAATGGGAAGTCAATAATTTTTCATCATGAGAGTAAAAAAATGAGGATTATCTTCCCAATACATGATAAATGTTATATGGAAATATAGGCGACTTGTCTTGTGCATCCTGTGTTTGGCTCATTGATGCTGTGTGTCTTGCCTTTAGCTGGGATGACAGCAGCTCTGTGAGTAGTGGTCTCAGTGACACCCTTGATAACATCAGCACCGATGACTTGAACACCACATCCTCGGTCAGCTCTTACTCCAACATCACTGTCCCCTCCAGGAAGAACACCCAGGTGAGAATTGCCTGCTTTCTTTCTCCAGTGCTTCTCCTGGGTTTTTTCCTCAAACTATTTTATCTTAGATTAAAATATAGCACGGCCTCTGAATCTGATATAATTGTATAAACAGAAGCAGCTTGTGTATATGTATTTTTTTCTATTGATTACAAGCCAACTCAGAAAGACTTATTGTACCATATCTCTTTTTATAACATTGATATTTTAACCCTAAAAATTATTTTAATAGTCTCATTTTAGATAGTTCTTGATTAATTTTATATTGATCTCTGAAATAAATTACTATATCTCTTGAGAATGGTAAATCAAGAATGAATATTAGATAATTAAGTTTTATCTTGTCCTCCTTTCCTTTGTTAAATTTGACACAGAAAATTCCTTCCGCTATGGAGTATTTAATTGGGGTTTTCTGCACATATTTATTCTGACATTCTCTAATATGTGCAAGTGAGAATTATGTGGCTAAAATTAATGAAACTTAAATGAAGACATAGATAAAAATAGGAGTCTTTGGAATTCTTTTGAAATATAAATCAGTGCTGCTTTTTTTTTTTTTACCAGTTATTTAAAGGTACATTCCAAGGCCTATTCACACTTTATAGATTGTTCTGCCCAAAGTTTCTTTGTGATATTTTCCCCATAGCTGAAGACAGATTCAGAGAAACGCTCTACAACAGACGAGACATGGGATACTACTGAGGAGCTGAGAAAAACAGAAGAGGACTTCGACAGCCATGGGGATGGCGCTGGCAAGTGGAAGGGTGTTTCCTCAGGACTTCCTGAAGACCCCGAGAAGACAGGGCAGAAAGCCTCCCTGTCCATCTCACAGACAGGTTCCTGGAGGAGGGGCATGTCTGCCCAAGGAGGAGCGCCATCTAGGCAGAAAGCTGGAACGAGTGCACTCAAGACCCCGGGTAGGCTTGTCACTTCACATCTGTTATGCAAAAGTGTTTTAATTTATGGTTTCCATTCCATCTTTGTTCTCTTTAATAATAGCTTTATTTTTAATTAAATCATATTCTTCTCTGTGCAGTTATTCTTTCCCATGTAAATTTCACACACTTTACCATGTAAGTCCACATGAATGTAACAATCTAGGCATTCTCCAGAGAGCACCATTATAATTTGGGGCTATTGAGTGACTTTATTCTGCCAGAGTCATTTCTGTTCATGTGGAAATAAAAGAAGTCTGCTTAATAAAAATAAGATTGCTTTCCTTCTGCCTTCCTTATGAAAGTTTGGAGTACTTATGTTAAGTATGCCACTAATTTTCACTACCATCACTGAGAGGCAAGAGTAATCACACTAATGTAATGGGTTGGAATGCTGGAGATTTGAAACATCATTTGTGAATTATACTTTATGAAAGAAGAGAGTGAAAGACTTCTGCCAAATTGTACCATCTTTTTTTTAAGATTCTTTCCCTATTTTTAAAATGGTGCCTAATTTTAAATAGTGCCACTTAAGTAGTGTTGTACCAGGGGACTCTAAATATAAGCATCTTACCAGATATTCAAATGAATTCTTTTTCTAGCACTTAGCTTGATAAGATTAAGTGCTATCCTGATAAAGGGAGAGAGTTGTGAGATATAACACAATAACAAACTGCAAAAATATGTGCTTTCATTTTATCTCCTTCAGTACTCGTCACATTTCTTCTAAGAACCATGTTTTTATAGCTTTGTACGCAATCCTTTCAATATACTAAAGCACATACCTATTGAGATCTAAATAAATAGTTAGGAACTGAAGTAATATAAAGATGTATTCACATTTTTACACGTCATTTAAAGAAGAATTACTGTGTTAATCAAAATGTGCAGGCATGTATATTTGTGTATTTCTCATTCATTAGGGAAAACTGATGATGCCAAAGCTTCTGAGAAAGGCAAAACTCCCCTGAAAGGATCATCTCTACAGAGGTCTCCTTCAGATGCTGGCAAAAGCAGTGGAGATGAGGGGAAAAAGCCCCCCTCAGGCATTGGAAGATCCACAGCTCCCGGCTCTTTTGGTTTTAAGAAACCAAGTGGAGTAGGGTCATCTACTATGATCACAAGCAGCGGAGCAACAATAACAAGTGGGTCGGCCACCCTGGGTAAAATTCCCAAATCTGCTGCCATTGGTGGGAAGTCAAATGCAGGGAGAAAAACCAGTCTGGACGGATCCCAGAATCAGGATGATGGTGTCCTGCACGTGAGCTCCAAGACCTCCCTCCAGTACCGCAGCCTGCCCCGCCCTTCAAAATCCAGCACCAGCGGCATCCCTGGCCGAGGCGGCCACAGGTCCAGCACCAGCAGTATCGATTCCAACGTCAGCAGCAAGTCAGCTGGTGCCTCCACCTCGAAACTCAGAGAACCCACTAAGATTGGGTCAGGGCGCTCGAGCCCCGTCACTGTCAACCAGACGGACAAGGAAAAGGAAAAAGTAGCTGTCTCAGATTCAGAGAGCGTTTCTTTGTCAGGTTCCCCCAAATCCAGCCCCACCTCTGCCAGTGCCTGTGGGACCCAAGGGCTCAGGCAGCCAGGATCCAAGTATCCTGACATTGCCTCACCTACATTTCGAAGGTAAGAATGTGTGAAACAATGCAGGGAAAATAGAAAATGCTATACTGTAGGATACGCAGGAACCATTTAATAAATATAAATAATCTATGTGTGTCCTGAATCCTATATCTTAAATATATATATGTATATATGCCCTAAATATATGTTCTAAGGTTCATATATCTTAGCATCTTTTAGTTTCTGAGTACATGAGTTTTAAAAAGCTGATCTTATAGATAGCTGGGGAAAAAATGGTGCTCATTTTGAGAAATGCTCAAACTTCTCAGTCCCACTATCATTCTAATATTAGCAACACAAACAGCATTTATAAGAAACTTAAAAGCAGATGGCAACACCGAGGGGTAGTGATAAAATAAAGTAATCGCTTGTAAAATTTCCATAGATTTCCATCTCTCCTTTCCGCAGTTAAAAATAAAACAAAAGAGGTGTTCATGACTATGGGTATTCATTTCCAGTGTTTATGATCTTGCTGGCTCTTAGTGAGTCAGTGATAATGAATGTAGATGAAATTGTTTTCCTTGTCAGAGATTAGATTGGACAGATTGATGCAGTACCATATCTTAATGTATTAATGAAAATCAAGGTATGATATCCTGGAGAGAATTTGAAAACATTTGGATGTTTCATATAGGGTAACAACTCAGGAATGGACGAGATTTTGTAGCTTCATCAGCTTTTTTTGAAAGGACTCTGATAAGCAGCATAATTGGTTTCTATATAGGGACTGTCTTGGTACTAAATATGTAGAGTTCTGCTGTGAGATATCCTTGTTTTTAAATACTAATATATTTTAAGTGGCAGGAAAATACATAGTGTTAAAGACTTGGGACAAATGGTTAAACCTCTCTGGGTCTGTTTCCTCATCTATGAAATGATAGAATATGATTTATAGTCCATTACATGTTAAGTATTTTTAATGTTTGTTTTTATTACAATGAATAAACCAAGAACCTTGATAACTGGGAAATAAAGGGCCTCGAAACATTTTCATTTCAAGCAATCTCAGATACATGATTGTTTGAAAACCGAGAGGTTATATTCCTCAGTAGAAATATTAATTCTGAAAAACTGGCTTTTTGTAATGTTGATTCTCACTGGAAAGAATAATGACTTGCAGTGGGAGTTAATTATTTCTGTTGCTTAAATAAAAGCCAATAGTGCCCTCCAGTGGCCCATTACCTATGAAACAATTTCTCATATTCGTCATGAAATATTTCACTCTAGGAAATATGGATTTCATTGCAACTTAATTAGTTAGTAATCATTACGCCATTACTTCATATCACTTTATTTCCATATTTACATAAATTCGATTATATCATCTGCTTCATTTACAAAACTAAAATGTTTTCTGAACTGAACTCCAACATGAGTTAGCACCAACTGTGTTTCAAATCACTATTATAAATATGTACTTGAATAGCACTGGCAACTGACATAAAACCTTTGGTCTTTCTTGAGGAAAATGCACACCAATGAACATGTTGCCAACAGTGTCCAATCTTATTTCTAACCAACTGCCCTCTGACCGTCACTCAGGCCACCAGATATGTAACATAACCTCCTAAACCTTGCCTTAAGCATTCCTTTTAGTTAAACTGTTACAATGAAAAAAAAAGAAAGAAAAAAGAAACAAATTTTAAGTGTTCTATACCGAATGCGTAGAAGTTGTTTCATTATAATGGATCTGTAAATAGGTAAGAGCAAGTGTGCTCAAATGCTTTAATTTTCTCGAAAGATTCTCATGATCACTTACCCTGTGAAAGCCAAGGCTTTTCATGTGTGATCTGCTTTTGTTTTGCCCCTTTCTCCCCCACCCCCTGGGTGGACGCCCAGTACCGACTTACCCGTATGGTGATAGGAGAGATTTTTTGGCACAAGATTAAGAAGTTCGCGCTTATAAAGTTCATTAACGCAGAGACGGGAAGTGCTCGGTGGCTCGGTACGCCAAAGCACGCTTGGCTCTGTGTACTGTAACCCTAAATATTAAATGTGGATATTAGTCTCTCGGAACAACTGAAGTTGTTATTTGTTTTTCTTTTAGGTTGTTTGGTGCCAAGGCAGGTGGCAAATCTGCCTCTGCACCTAATACTGAGGGTGTGAAATCCTCCTCAGTAATGCCCAGTCCTAGTACCACATTAGCGCGGCAAGGCAGTCTGGAATCACCGTCGTCCGGTACGGGCAGCATGGGCAGTGCTGGTGGGCTAAGTGGCAGCAGCAGCCCTCTCTTCAGTAAGCCCTCAGACTTAACTACAGACGTTATAAGCTTAAGTCACTCGTTGGCTTCCAGCCCAGCGTCGGTCCACTCTTTCACATCAGGTGGTCTCGTGTGGGCTGCCAATCTGAGCAGTTCCTCTGCCGGCAGCAAGGACACTCCGAGTTACCAGTCCATGACTAGCCTCCATACGAGCTCTGAGTCTATTGACCTCCCCCTCAGCCATCATGGCTCCCTGTCTGGACTGACCACAGGCACTCACGAGGTGCAGAGCCTGCTCATGAGAACGGGTAGTGTGAGATCTACTCTCTCAGAAAGGTGAGCTTTCCTAGAGGCATCGGTGAAGTCTTCACTCCGTCCTCCCCACACTGTGCCTACCCTCCTCCCCCACCAAATTCCCTTGATGTCAGTGGGAATGCCACTCTGCAAAGGAACATAAAATTGAAGGGATAGAAGATTAAGGAGACCAGGCCTTTTGTTTGCTCTTACTACCAAGTTCGTAGAAGGAAAAAAAAAAAAAGCCATGAAGAATAGGATAATTGTATAATTAAGTTTCTTAATATGAATGTGTACATATGTACCAAACAGGCAATTTGAATGAAATTCAAAGCATGGGTTTATGTATTAAATGATGTCTTCTCAAGACGTGTTAATGATCTGGCCTCAGCTCCAAGACAACGTAGCTCCTTATGATAATTTGAGCTTTTTTAAAGACCAAATTTAAATGGGTTCTACAATTATGCTCTGAGCAATATGTTAAGTTTGCTTTATTAGCACTTCTGTAGGAAAAGAGCAAAAAGATCACTGGGGAATCCTAGTTGTATTGGAAAAAAAGTCAATTGTCAGATATGAATTCTTAGAGAAAATTAATAGCACTAGTGATATTTTTAATAGGCCCTTGAAAATAAATCGTATTATAAGGTGTTTCCCATTGGTTTAAGCAGTTGTGTTTTTTTTTTTTAACTTACAATGAAAAACATAAAGAGGCATTCCTTACTGAATATACTTGCCTGAAAGTGTCACTGTTAACCAAAATGCCTTTAGATTCTCTCACCCCAAAAATCCTTTCTCAGGTATTTTGGTACTATTTCTCCCTGGAAAATGTCCTGAAATTGCCTCTTTTCCCAGATAAACTTGATGTTATTTGTTTCCTGACACACCTAAAGCTTTTAAAAATGCTCTTGGCCACATGTCTTAGTTGTGTTGTTTGTGAAAGCACCACTGGCCACTGAAAATGCCTGGTATCGTTCCCTAAGCTTTTGTTCAGTCTGTTACTGAGGATGACATATCACCTCTTTTCCAGACTTCCAGCTTTACTCGCAGATTCATTTTTTAAAACATCGACTAAAGCTCTTACCTAGACTCTCACCACATTGCAGTAGTTGTCCTCTAACCCAAAATTTCCCATTGCTCTTCCGTTTCTCTTGCCTTCATGAAATGCAAACCATCACTTCCATCCCACTGTACCTCCCAGCATGGACAGCCGTGCCCATTAGACAACCCCCGATAAAACAATTTTTGAACTGAAATATTTATGCTTATTAGTTCTTATGGTGGACTGCTAATTACAAAATAATATTTTTCTTCATGAACAAAAACCTGGGCCAAGAGACACAAGACAAACAGCTGGGGAGATAGAGACTAACGTGTAGACGTTTGCATCTATGTCCCCTCTAGTTTTGTCATTATAGATAGCATACGTAAAGACCAACTACATACACGAAAACATTGGTTGTAAGTACTATTTCATTTAAGTTTTTATCTCAGAAGTTAGGCTTCCTACGGCACCTTGGATTTGAGTTTCCACACTTTAAGGTAAATGGGCACCCTCATATGTCATTTTTAAGACTTATAACAAGTAAATCAAATTATATTGAAAATCTGTTAATAACCTATAGTTTTAATGAATGTATCTTTGATTGTATACCGATATGCGAGGAGTCCAAATAACAACTTCATAACCACACTGCAAATAGGTCATTATTTATTAACCCAAGTCATCCTCCAAATTACTGGTTTTTTTTAATCACCAATATGGCTGCAATAAGTTGACCATTTAGCCATCAACCTATTTCTCTGGCCTTCAGATATTAAAAAATCAGAAAAGAAGACAAGTAACTATTTGTAACAAGCAATCTTCAAATCAAACCAGAGTATAAAACTGAGCTTTATAGATACAAATGCAATGTTAATATTTTACTTTATCTATATTTTAGCAGAAGTCAACATACATTTTCCCTTAGAAATACACTGGCAAATATGTAGTCACTTTTTTTCTTTAAGCAAATCTTGTTGTTGATCAGTTTTTGAAATAGGCTGGCTTGACGAATGGGAGTGTTCCAGTATTAAAAATAGCCAGATAAACAATTTTTCTAAAGTAAACCTTAGGTTAACTTAAAATAAATGCATATTTTGCCCTTGATTCTTAGTGAAATGTATTGATGAATATTAAAGTGTGAAAAATAAAATACTTTCATAGGTATAATATATGATATAAATATTAATTAGTTCCTCCCAGGAAATTACTGGATCAAAATAATTTTTGATATGAGAAGGTGTACTTTTTCTTTCTTGGGAACAAAATTGCAGGCAATAGCAATTTATTCTAATCCTTTAGGTACGTTCAAGAAAGTTTATGATCTGTTGAAGAGAAAATAAGATCCTGTCAGAAATCCGGGCTTAATTAGAATTAAGCGGTCAGTGGAATGTTGGGAATGCTAAGCAAACCAAAGAGCCATACCTGACAGAGAGTGCGCTAACGTGTAGATATTGTAAACAAAGTAATTAAAGTGATATGATAGAGACGTGTGTAAGTTCACGACTTACCCGTTTGTCTACAATTTCAAAGTATTTTACTGATATATTCATATCTTAATATTACTGAATCAATAGTTTTTCATAAAGATTTTAACTTTGTTCAAATTCCTTTTTCATTAAAATGTCATAAAATAATAATCACAAAAAGTTCTTCAGTAATTTTCCCTCTAGCTGCTCCAAATCATTGGTGGCTCTTGAGCCATAACGAGTTCCCAGTTATTTTGTTTAGTTTGTTCTGCTTTTTGTAACCTAACCAAACTTTAAAAATAATCTAAAGTAGTAACCAACTTTACAAATTGCTGGCTTGTTTGGAAATAACAGATCGAGCAACCCTGCCTTCACAATCCAGCAGAGCATCTTGTTGGCTTTAAACAGACAGGGCCTGACCTCCTCAGACTGTTGGCTAACATCCCCCTCTCCCTCCTTGCCACCGCTTGCCTGGCCCTTGCAAGCATAAGAGTGTGTGACCTTTCAGGATGTGTGGAAAGTGTCTACTGTATAAAACCATTAGTATCCAGAGTCAAACAGATATTTCTACTTAGAGTTTTAACTTATATTGGTAAATTTAAATGTATTCTTCTGATTTTTCCTTCATCAAGTTCTCTGCGTGTTAGAAACATATGCACTTTATACAATTGATAATTTTGGCAAACGATGCTTTAATAAATCTGCACGCATGAAAAAGATAATCTTTAAAATGGCTGGTGACCCTATAAATGCTTTAGCACAACTGTCGTTCATAGTTACAGGTTTTTCATATTTGTTCAATCTGATTCCTTTAGTCAAAATGTGTACTAGAACTGGCATCTACATAACAGAGTAATTACCTTATGTGGACATTCCCAATAAATAAAGTCATATAATGTCTTTGGTTGCTTTCTACTGCAGTGCTAAATAATGGAGTACACGTAGAAGAAAACATTTTAGCTTTGGTTTTGAGCGATTAATTTTCAAGTCAATGTGTTTGCATTTGTGTTATTTCATCCCCATTATGCGTATCCTGTGTATTTTTGATCATTGGAGGTTCTACTGGAAGAGAGCTGTCATTCTTCAAATTCAAATTAATTGTATTCTTTTGGTTATTCACATGCCAGAAGTTATAACAGAAACCATAGACTTGTCCCACTTAGCTGTTGATACCCTCTTCTATTTTTAGAGAGGCCATTTCTCATTTTCTCCAGACACATCCTTTCATCCCTTTTTATGACCAGTTGAGAATTCTTTAAAATAGAGACTGATAAAACTTATAACCTTTTAAATACCTAACTTCGAATTTCCAAAAGATGGCATAGTTCAGTTCTATAAAATATTTAAATAAATGGTGCCAGAAACATTACGTTTCAAGCCGATATTTATTATGTCGTACTTTTTTCTCTCCTAAGCAAATGGAATAGATCTGCCTTTGTTTTTATTAAAAATAATGTGAATACAAAAATAAAGTATTAAAAAGGTGTTTTATATCTCCTCTGCCCATTAGAAGTTGTCACTTTAACTCAGGGAGAGCAGATCTATCTGATTTCCACCTGTGACTCTCCTGCATTTGAAATCACAGTGAAAGTCTAATCAGTTGCACAGGGAAGCAAAAACTACCATAGCAGTGGGTAAATAGAACCTATAGGGGAATTATGTCAACAAATGACATAATCTACCTGCTCATAATCCTGTCACTAATTATCACCAAATGTGTTACAATAATAGACATCTGGTCACCTTGGTTGGCCTTTTCCAATAAGTTAAGCATTAAATATGTGTTTCAAAAATTTTATTTTGTGAAGTTTAAAGAACCATTTTTGTTGGATGTGTAATTTGGAGGTTTTGTTTGCATTATGTCCTTAGGGGTTTTCTTTGTTTTAACAGCATGCAGCTTGACAGAAATACACTACCCAAAAAGGGACTAAGGTATATATTTCTTTCAGCACAATTGCTGCCTTTCTCTGTTGTCACGTAAACTTTGTGTGCTGTCTCTCTCCCTCTTTCTTTGTTTGTTTGCAATGAAGTATCTGCCATTGAGGATGGCATCACTTTTAATCCCGGTATTTTCTCTGGCCTGAGGAGTTGGTGAGATAAGCCTCCGGTTAGAGATACCAGTAGAGGTCAAAACTAAGTAAATTAAAATTAAATCCAGTCTAATATCATTATTTGGGGAGCAGCAATTTTTGGTAGATTTCTGAACTCACTTCTATAAATTAAAATAAAATTAACTTCCCTAACTTTTGCATCTTGGAGGCATATGCTTGCAAAACCTCAACCCATATAGTCTACAGATGTGGCCAGTTAATGTTGAAAGGTTGAAGGATGCTCTAATTTGAATCAAAGAAAATATATTTTCATCATCAGAGGACAAATACTATTAATTAAGGTATGAATTTTTAAAGAATCCTTTTGGTAAAAACTCAAAGAGTTTTCATGTCGGTTTTTCAGGAGTGCTAGTCAATTTAGAGACGAATTAGTCTAGTATAACATAGTAATCTCAAAATCATCATTCAGTTCATCATAAAAACTAAAATGAAAATTTAACCCGTGGCCTTCCTTTACCATACACTTTTATCCGAGGAGAGGGTATAAAATGAACTACTAATAGAGGGATAACACATATGAACTTAATGAGTTAACTGTTCTTTGATGTTAAAAATTTACTGACTCTGGTGAAAATGAGCACTGGCCAAACAGGTCTTTCCCGGTTATCCCTTTTCTTGCTAGTCCCTTGGTAATAACAAGCAGCTTGCAATTATTCCATTTCAAGATTTTGTTTCAGAAATTTATCTTCCACGAAAGTGAACCCATTTTTTTCCTTTTTTAAAAAAATCAAGACATGATGTCAAGTGCCATTTTAACCAAATAAGTGTGGTTTTTTTTTTAATGTTGTCCTTTTTTATTTTCAAAAAAAAGATCTGTCAATTTGTGTTCCATTTCCTATGCTTTTCTGTGGCCATCATACCAGTTCCCTTGGCCGCTGGCCTAGCACTGTCTCCCAGATTTAGTCTGTGCTTTCACCCTCTTCACATCCTTCCAAGCACTGTGCTTTTGAGTCCTTCTCAGTTAACTTGGCTGTCTGCTCATTGCTTATGATTTTCAACTACATATCTCACAGAAGCATAATTTTCCTTTCAAAATCCTTTATTTTTTTTTTTCCTGTGAGATTCACACAGATGGTGTCAGATCATCTGGAAGAACTAAGCAATTATAATTAGATTCAATCTGTTTGAGAACGTTGTTCAGTCTGAATAGTAAGCTCCTCTCGATTGTTTTCTTGTCCTGGTATTGCCTTGCCCTCATCGATGTGCTTCAGTGTCTTAGCTTTGCTGTTTTGCAGATACACTCCATCATCTCGGCAGGCCAGCCAAGAAGAGGGCAAGGAGTGGCTGCGCTCCCATTCCACCGGAGGGCTGCAGGATGCTGGCAACCAGTCCCCTCTGCTCTCCCCTTCTGCCATGTCATCTTGCGCCACAGGAAAATATCACTTTTCCAACTTGGGTAAAATATTCTAAACACGATTTCATCTTGTTCCTTTGGCCACCTGCCCTCACGGGAGTGCTGGGATCTCTCCATAAAACGTGTTCACTTAAAGAAAAGATAGAGACACCTTAAGAGTACCTTTTATTTGTTTAATGGCTGGCTATTCACAGAATACTTTCTAAATGATATGCAGTTTATTGCTTATGACCACAGCTTGACACAGGTACTACTGTTGTGATTTTATAGTCTAGGATCCAGAGGCACAGAGAGGCCATTTCACTCATAAAAAGGTCACCACTCGTAAGGGCCAGAGGCAATAATTGATCCCAGAACACCTGACTTTAAGCCTAGAGGGTTTTCTCAGAGTCCTCTTAAAAAACAATAAAACAGGGGCACCTGGGTGGCTCAGTTGGTTAAGCATCTGCCTTCGGCTCAGGTCATGATACCAGGGTCCTGGGATCAGGCCCTGTTTCAGGCTTCCTGCTCAGCGGGTATATGCTTCTCCCTCTCCCCTCTCCCTCTGCCTCTCCCCCAGCTTGTGCTCTCTCTCTCACTCAAATAAATAAAGTCTTAAAAAAACTGTTAAAAAAAAACAATAAAAATTCTCCTTGTCCTTTGTTTAAAATGTTTTTTTAAATCCTTAACAAAATTTATCATACTTTTGTAGAAAAACAAAATATAAATAATTAAGAAGAAAGAAAAAGTAACTCCATGACTTTTAAGATCACTTCTTTACAGGTGATCAAAATGAATACCATTTCAAAACTCTCCTTAAAATGAATGAGTATTCCCTGTGAAGATTTTTGGATAAGTGCAATGAAAAAAAAAAAAAAGACAAATTTAGCCATTGCATTACTTTGTGCTTAGCATCATTTGTATGAAATGTAAAATCGTTTGATTAATGTCACAGAAAACATAGGGAAGAGTGACAAAGTAATGAAAGAAGTTTAAACATGCCAGTTCTAATTTAATAGATCCAATTCTTTTAAAAATAGATTTCTGTTCTATAAAATCACATATAAAGTAGTCTCATTATTATCTTTTTTGTCTAGTAATGGACCCACCGATTGTCCAAATTCTTCAATTTTTTCAATCCTTTAGGACACTCATGGCTCTTTCTCTTCTCTTGTAACTCTTCCTGCTTTACAGATTAAAACTTTGGCAATGGAAAACAATGATTTTGGTCATGGTTCCATATGAGCTAATGAATCCCTATCAAACACCAAGTTTTTGCTGCTGCATCTACACAGTGAGGGACTTCTTTGTCTCATAATGGCAACAGATGGTATAGTTTTTACTTACTTTGAATTGTAATTATAAAACATAGCAAGAAGCTTAAAATTTTAACTTCAAAAAATAAATTAAAAATGTTTTTTATACAGTCATAGGAATATGAAATAAACTCTAATTTTATGCAACATCTGAAACAAACCCGAACCCCCTGAAATGCCGACTTTGCTAGGTATCTTATGTCTCCTATCAGTCTTTTTAATGCTTGACATTAATTTGACTAATTGAATCCTTATCCCATTATTTTCTTATTTATATTGTTCTGATTAAATCCATCTGTTCCATTATTATTTAGAAAAAAAAAATGCTCAACACTTACTATGTCTGATCTTGGCAAAGTCAATTTCCTCATCTGTGAAATGGATCCGAAATTCCTAGGTTTTATTATGGAGGAACTAACTTATGTGTACCAAGACTCAAGAGAGTATAAGACTTAATAGACCTTGCTACCTCATCATTTTTATTGGAAAGCATGCCTTACGTTATCAGAGACAATAGCAGTGGATTTCAAATTGACCTTACTGCCTCTACCATCATTTTCAACATTTGCACCCATTGGGACATATAAAGGAAGACCCTCTGATACATGTCAACAGATTCTCATGTGCCCACCCAAATTTTATAAGCATATACGGCTTCAGATCAGGTGTTCTGAGGTCTCTATGCTGTGTTATTTTAAAGAAAAAAATGACCAGTTTTAAAAACATGCAAATGATTTTTTTAGAACTTTTTATTGTGGGTGGCTCAGTCGGTTGGGCATCAGACACTTGGTTTCGGTTCAGGTCATGATCTCAGGGCTCATGAAATCGAGCATGGGGCTCTATACTCAGCACAGAGTCTGCTTGGGATTCTCTCTCTCTCTCTCTCCCTCTGCCCCTCCCCTAACTCATGTGCTAGCTCTCTCTCTCCCTCTCTCTCAAATAAATCTTTAAAAAAAACCAAAAACCTTTTTATTGATTTGCAGATCACCTGAATTTATATTTACTAGGCAAGACTGTGGGTACTATTAAAATGTAATCATAACGAAAGATTATTTTATTATTAAATTAAAGAAATATATCAAATGGAATTTTTTTAACTTGAATATGGATAGCATTGTCTTGCAGTTCACTTTGGTCATCATTTGCCTTCAATTTAATCATTATCTCTTCTGAAGGATCAGCAAGTGATTATTACTAACATTCAGCAATTGCAATACCTGTGTTTTTTCTATCCTTTCTACTTATTAAAATATCTTAATACATAAAATTTTTAGAAATATTACTGTAAAAAGTCATGTATAACGAACAGAAATTTAAGATCACTTCAGTTACATCATCAGTAGAGTAGCATGAAGCTATTGCCAAAGTAAGCTGTGGTCTGTGTGTCATTCCTGGTATGTATGATACCTGTAATAGAAACATTCCACTCAAGAAAGTGAATCAGAATATAACTTACGGAAACAAAATACATCTTTGTTTGAAACTTTATTGGTCATTGCCCTTGTGAGACATCTCATAACCTGGTGAGACTCGTTGTCATCTTCCCATGAGTGACAACAATTACTCAGCTTCACTTTTCACCGTGCTGCAAGGGTTAGTATGTAGAAGTATTACTACCAGTCTCTCACCTACGAGTTCTATATATTTGTTGGACCCTTTTGCATACAGAGTATTGTTTAAACAACTTTATAGGGGAAGTTTCTATGCTTTTGCGTCCAAAGGTTCCTCCACCTTGAATGCCCTTCAACTCCTCTCTCCATATTCACTTTTTAAGCTATTCAGAATTAACCCCCTTCTTCTATACGCATGAAAGCATAGAACCTGGGAGATGGGAGACACCTATCTCTGGTTCAATTATTCAACTATTAGTTAAATTCTTAAGACATCTCTAGCTTCTTCTCTAAACCCACTCAGGACAGAAACTACCTGAATCTAGATATATCACACTTTTGAAGTTCCTCTTTAAAAAAAAAATCAAATAAAATTTTCTTGAATTGCTACCTAGTTCCTAGCAATAGTCCCAGATTCCACAAAATAAGTTAAAGTAAGCTTCCATATGAATACCCTTATTTTAAAACAATATCATAAACTCACTAGCTAATGTGTCTGGATACAGTAGCAAAGTCAAAGAGAGACCTTGAGGTATTTAGAAACCCACTCCATATTTCTATCAGGTCCCCTCTCCTCAAATCCCAGAAATCAACATTTAGTTTCGTAAAAACAGGGGTTTTGCTCTGAAATATAATTTAAGATAAAGTCAGCAGCCCCCTTTTCCCTAACATATGGTCATATCTGTATCTCTCCTTTTAGAAATTTGGCTGTATCTCTGAGCTTTGAATGAGCCCAGAGGTCATTTATTCTGCCATTTTTAAAAATTATAATTCATGAAGAAACTGAAGGGTAGAGATTGGGATATTTGCCTGAAGCAAATGGAAAGCAAAGCCAGTATAGAAGCCCTGTGTTAATTTGTGTACCATTGCTGAAATTCTCTTTGTCTGTCATATTTTTGTCCTATAATTTTTCTTCGCTTATTAACTTTTCTACCTTTCAGTCACCTCTGCTAGTAGCCACTGTTGAAGTCAGAGCCATGCTATATTTATCTTTCTATTCAACCACAGCCCCAAAGAAGCAGACCTGTCATAGACATTAATGAAACTGAACATTCTTAAATAGTATGGGTATAGTTTCAACGCAGAAGCTGTCAAAAGTGTCTGTAAATGCAAACTATTTGCTTTAAAATTCACCGTAATCCTCATTATTTCTTGGATGATTTAAGTCACATGTTTTGAAATTATAGAAGGACAATTTACTTGGATAGCTCTGCAACCATTATGCAAAGCCAAATAGTGAATGAAATGACCTTCTCAGCTCTAGATACATATTAACATAATACATTTACAAATGTGTTGAACACTTCATTCATTTAGCAAAGAGACAATCCATACCGTGGACATAGAGTAGGATGATTTACTCCAATCCAGGTACTCTAGACATAAACGTTCAAGTCTAGAATGTCCTTCAGCGTATCTATTGTCAGTCAGTTAGCAATCAAATTGAATTAGTCACTGCTCCTGAAGGAATGTGCCTAAAAGGTCTCTCTCACTCTCCTTCCCTCCCTCCGTCTCACCACCCTCCCTTCTTTCCTTCTTTCTTTCCTTCTTCCAGAGCTTTGTTCCTTCCAACAGATCGCACACTTTACAAATCCATAGTTTCTTTCACCTTTTATTGTATTTCACATATGCACCCACAGATATAATTCTAAATCTTGTATTTCTTTCCTTTTTCTCGTTCCAATCCACAATCGCTCTATCAGAGGGTTGTTCTGCGTATTAATTCATCGATACCTATAAAATATCCAGCATAGTGCCTGGAAAAAAGGAGACATTCCCTTTCACTTGCCTCATAGTATATATGCCTCCTATTGTTTTGAAAGCCAGTCATTATATGAAAAAGAAATGTAGTGCCTGTGTCAAAGAAAAAAAATAGCAAATTTTGAAATGATAATCAGACTCATTCTAAACCAATGACATAAATTCCCTAAGGTTTTGAAAGTACCCACAGCTTTTGTGATAGCTTAAGAGGTTCCTGCCTGCTTCCTCACGTCTGTAACAACTTACTTTTCTTAAATATGAGCATTTGTGATAAATATATTTCTCAATTTTGTGCTTTGCTTTTATTCCAAATTTCAAGACTGCTGTTTCTGAAGCAGTTGTACGTTCAGTCAACCACATCTTTCTTTAAATTCATGATTATCAGTTGGCCTAAAACGTTGAGTGTTATTAGAACTCTTCAGCAATAAGCACTAAGTAAATAAATTTTTATTTCAAATTATGAACGTGATGTACTGCTTGGGAAACACAACAGGTTTGTGATATTTGACAGTCTCACTGTGGTACTCTGGTCTTAGACACTGTAGAAAAGAGTTCAATGTGATTAACCTGTTGATGAGCTATAGAAACCATGCATATTACATTTCATTTAAAGAAAAATTTCATTTTCTTCTTTTATAACTAACTCTGATAATAATGATGGTACTGACCATCAACTTACATAAATTCAGGATGCAAAACGATGAAAGTCTTTGCCTGGAAGCTTCAAAAGGGTCTTCTTGGGACATTTAGATTTCTTGTGTTTTCTTTTTGTTTTGTTTTTTCCCATTGAAGTGATGTATTCTCCTTGAAAAGAAACCTACAGACTCTGTGCAGGCAATCTTTTCTTCATAATCACCAGCAGAATATGCCATGCTGTTGTATTTCTAGCACGAACAGTAGAGGTTGCTTGGTGGCTTTGTTTAATATTGCTTTAGAAATTGACATACTGCTGGCCATGAAAGTGTTAGGAGAAAAGAGGGACTCCACTGAAACTGTTATTGAACATTTCAGAGGCAGACTGTCAGCCTACCTTAAATAGAGACACCCGTTAAATTCATGTCACCATAGAACTGGGATCAATTCTCTCTCTCCAGTAGCCTACTATTTTCATCATCTAAGCCCCAGAATAATGAGGTGTGTGCTTTGTTTTTCAGTGAGCCCAACCAATCTGTCTCAGTTTAACCTTCCTGGGCCCAGCATGATGCGCTCAAATAGCATCCCAGCCCAAGACTCTTCCTTCGATCTCTATGATGACTCCCAGCTTTGTGGGAGTGCCACGTCTCTGGAAGAAAGGCCACGTGCCATCAGTCACTCGGGCTCATTCCGAGACAGCATGGAAGAAGGTAGGCTTAGGGGGAAATAAAGATGGAGTTACTTTATTTAACTCAGAGATGAAAATTGTCACATCAGTCGCCATCACAAGGATTCCTGAAGAGTAAATAAATTAGTAAGTATAACTCTCATTTAGGGAGCCCTGAAGCTTAAAGAAGTTTTAGTCTGCATTACTTTCTGTTTCTCTATGCATTTGGAAATATGCCAGAAATTGTTTAGATTAATACTTGGTTATAGAACAGTTCAGAACAAATCCAGTGTTCTCATAGAGAAAGCCTCATTATTTTAGAGACTATTTGCCCTGGTGTGTCAAATATCAGAGCCAATGTTTTGTTTGACATCTCAGTTAAAGAATCATAAAGATACATAAACCAGAAAAATTATCTTATGAAACTACCACACGTTGCCAACTTGTATTCTCAGAAACTCCCTCTGGTGTTGGTTTCTGTTATCATGTCATATTAGAACTCATATTATGTCTACTTTTTGCCTTGTAATTTTCACTTCCTTATCCAATGCAATAAGGTTCTGTGTGAATACTTTATAATAGTTCTATTTGAAAAACTCAGGAGGCTTAATTGATGTTCAAATGTATGTGATTTTTTTTAAAACTGTATAACTACAGGTGTGAAATTTGATAATATTTGAGCGATTTTCCTCTTTGATTTAATGAATTATTATTTTAAAGTATCCATAAAGGAAAATTTTGGCACACACATTACAAAGCATATCAGCTAAGGATAAAATAAAGGTAAACATAAAAGTTATTTAAACTTTGATCAGAATAAAATCAGACATTTGTACCTTTGGGGCAAATACCTAGTAGTGCAATGGCTTGCCATTTGCAACGATGTGGATGGAACTTAGAGGGCATTATGCTAAGCGAAATAAGTCAATCAGAGAAAGACAATTATCATACGATCTCACTCGTGTGTGGAATTTAAGAAACAAAATAGAGGAGCATAGAGGAAGGGAGAGAAAATAAAACAAGAGGAAATCAGAGAGGGAGACAAACATAAGAGATTCTTAAGTCTAGGAAAAAAACTGAGGGTTGTTGGAGGGGAGGGGTGTGGGGGGTTGGGGTAACTGGGTGATGGACATTAAGAAGGGCACATGATGTAATGAGCACTGGGTGTTATATACAACTGATGAATCACTAAATTCTACCTCTGAAACTAATAATACACTACATGTTAATTAATTGAATTTAAATAAAATAAAATTTTTTAAAAAAGAATAACATCAGACATGAAATCAGCCAACTATCTTAGTCTTTAATAATTATGTATAAAAGAAAGGACTCCAAATCTTGAAACATATCAACTTTTAAGCCTCTGGGTCATCCATTTATTTGTGGTATGAACTTGGGCCAATTTCTTAACTTTATCAGTGCTAATTCCTGCATCTGTAATTTCACAGGTTTGCCATGAAAATGAAATTAGGGAGTAGTTCTGTTCCTTTCTCTTTCTCCTTCCTACTCTCTTAAAGGCTCTTCTGACTAAAAGTTTAGATAGCTATGAAAATCGATTTCATGTTTTCAGGCCACTACTGTACGTTTAATCTGCTAGCACTACATTGGTTGACCATCATTGCCACTACCTTTTGGGATATTAACCGAACCGCTGAGTTCACTGTGACAAATAGTGGATTACATCCTGAGAGTCTGCTGATTGTGGCAGAGTAGATAGACAAAATTGAACTGACTGGAAATGTAAAGTCGTTGCTTTTTTGAGATGGTTCTATCACTCTCTTCACAGACTGGCATATTATAATACTGTAAAAATAATTTGCTAAGCATACTGATGGCTCATCTAGAGTGCCTCATTTACAGATAGAATGCTCTTCATATGCTTGGGAAAGTCTGGCCTTCTGTGTAGGAGGTTTAAATAATCTCGGTTGCTGAGCACCAGCCTGAGTGGGCAAGATGGCTCTTTGATGCCCATACATTGAACACTGAACTATTATAATTCTTACATTGTGGTCTACAACCAAAGGATTATTGAACTAGCAAGACGGAAGGGGCTTTATTGCTGCCCTTCCTGCTCAGTGATCACCATGAAGATAAAGAAACAGCCACACACTAGGAGGTCATAGACCTATAAATAGTAAGTAACAGCAACAAACCAAAAATGGGATCTCCTGATTCATTGTCCACCTGTCTTCTGTACACCAGGCTGAAAATCTTAGCGCGTACTGGTGCATACTTAGTGCATACTGTTTATTGGAGTTTGGAAGAATGTGGGATTTTGTTTGTTTTGTGTTCTTTAGATGACTAGCATTTTGCCCATCTCACAGAGTGGTGGTAGTTGCTTGAGCTAGAAATCTGGGAGTTGTCCTTTATTCCTCCTTTGACCCACATTTTTATATTCAGTCGGTTTTAAAGAGGTTCTTCCTAGTGACCCTCAAATTCATCCCTTTCTTTTGAGCCACAATGCCACAATCCTACACAGCTTTTCCAATCTTCTCTCCAGACCAGCTTGTGAGCATCTCCCATGTACTCTTGTAGTATCCCTTGCATTGCTCTAGAGAGTATTTTTATTACTCTACTATAATTATCTTCTTAGTTGTATACCTTTCTAGGGTTTTTTTTTTTTTTGAGCTTCTAGGATTGTGTCATCATTTTTATAGTCCCAGGATCTAGGAAGGGCCTGTCACATTGGGTGGGTATGTTTGTTGAATGGATGAATATGCAGAAATAACTTTACATTACCCCACAGTGAAAAGAGAAAGGACTTTTCTACAAATATAATTAAGTACAATTTTACCACCTTTTGGGCTTATCATATTAGATGTGCAAAACTATAAAAACAGTCTATCAATTGTTTAAGATGCTATTTTGGTAGACCTCAAAAGACAGTATGCAATTTCCATTCTTAATTTCAGTGAGACACCACCTTGAAATAAGCATTTTTTTCTATGACTAGAACTATAAAAGAAACAATAATTCTCCATTTAAAAGCGCATAATCAACTCATCACAGATAATGTTGAAATAGCAAGTTCAATCAAATGCTTCTTCCCCTGAAAGTATATGGAGAAAAACAGTGAAAATGGATCTTTGTTGTATAAAAATGAAATTAAATAAATAAAACACATAAAGCTTTTTTTTTAAGTTTTAAAGTTTATGGCAACTTTTATTTTAGGTTTCCATGATTTTCTGGTAATTTATTCTGTGGAAGTTTACTATAGCTTTAAATATGCACACAGCATGCTCGAAGGGCTTGTGTTTGTCAAATCCTCTCCCTATCATGATGAAGGAGGTATTGTAGGGGCACAGATATGGACCCTTCCCATGTCTCAACATTTTGGCCTTGAGAAAATAACCACAGAACTGTCCTCCGATTCTTATATCTAGCTGTTATTATTTTACTTCCCTGCTTCCCTATTCTCCACTCTCCAGCAAAGACCCGCTGTTTCTGAGCAGACTTCATTATTTCACCTCTTGTTCTTTTTTGCTTTTTCCAGTTCATGGCTCTTCATTATCACTGGTCTCCAGCACTTCTTCTCTTTATTCAACAGTAAGTATCCGCTGTGAAGATAAAGCTTCTGCCTTTGCCAAGCACGCAGATGATTCAGTAGCTTGATATTGACACAAGTTGCACAGTGAGAGAAGAATGTGCACTGAGCTCCCACATACCCCATCTGCTGGCTGGTGCTGCTGGGCCAGCGCCTCCGTGGTCCACTTAGATGTGCCTTCGCTTGACTTTTGTGTACTTACGAAAATCAGTGAGTGCATGAAAAACTGAATTTTGTAAGACCTATTGGGGGTATGACTGGGAATCCCCGAACCCTATGTACTGAGCTGTACTATAAATTTATGATACTGACAACTTTTCCTTGTTCGGATCTCTGAGCCACGACTGGCAATTGTCCTATGGTATTTTCTCCGTTTTATTATTTTGATTTTTCAAGTTCAGTCTTTGAGAAGATTGTGCCAAAGGGTAAGGGCCTAAAAGGCCTAGAGATTTTTTTAAAAAACATATCTTCTGAAATAGTGTGGTTTTTAAAACTATTTCTTAAAAGAGAAAAATGGCAGGCTTTCAACTTATTTTCCCTATGTGTAAAAACAAAAAAGATCTATAGGAAGTTGTATTTAATAAGAGGATTCCTTCATGCCTGGGTAAGAGTGAGGTCTATTTAGTTTACTGAATTTCACTGGGACTTGAGTGCTGTGAATAATCCTTAGTCCAGTACTAAAAGAGTCATAAAAAGTTCAGTCTTGGCTGTCACTGAGCAATTAAGCATGACTGGCAAAACTAATTGTTTTACTCATTTCATTAGGTTTAAATGTTAGGACCCTCCTTTTATAAGCACATCTTGCATAGTTACTGCTTTGGATCTTTACTCAAGATCGGACTACTACTGGGAAAGACAATATTTTTCTCGTAATTTCTCCTTTTAATGATTAAATTTGCTAATTACACTCTGTAAATGAAGAAATCACTATTATTGTTTAAATTTATTGCTTTTGGCAAATGGATAAGAAGTGAGAAAGGTGAACTATTTTGGAAAAAAGCACATAAGAGAAATGTGTTAACACTTAGTGTCCCTCCTCATTGGCCCAATGCCATTGCTTGTTAGGGGGATGTGCTCTGACTTAAACCATTGTGGTTGAAGTCTCTGTATAGCATCAAAAGATGCAGCATGATTATAGTATTGTAAATATATGCAAAAACAGTATTTGGATAAAACTGCCTTCACGCAGCCTGAGAAAGACTCAAGAAAAAAAGGAGCATGGGTTAAGGGAAAACAAATGGCCAATTAGTATGTAACCAGAGTCCAATAGTACTTTTTTTGATAATAAAAATGTTCTATGGCTGCACTGTCTAACACAGTAACCTCTGGCCACATGTGGCTCTTGAGGATTTACAGTGTGTCAGGTGTCACAGAGGAAATGAATTTTTAAGTTTCATTAATATAAATTTAAATAGGCACATGTGCCTAGTAGCTACTATATTGGATATTGCAGGTTTATAGAGAACAGAGAGGGTACATTTTAAAAAATTGTAGATAGGCTCAGTTGGTTAAGCATCTGACTCTTGATTTAGGCTCAGGTCATGATCTGAGGGTTGTGAGATCGAGCCCCACATTGGGCTCCATGCTGGCCATGGAGCCTGCTTAAGATTTTCTCTCTCCCTCTCCTTTGGCCCCTCCCCCTCTTAAATAAATAAATTAATTAATTAATGAATTGTAAATAAATAAGAGCAGATGTCAATCAGAAAGCATAAATGAGGAATGTTGTAGTAGCAATATGGTATGAAATGTGAACAGAGATGAAATAAAGTGATTAATATACACATACGTATATGCCAAAATTTAGAAATGAAATACACCCTTGTGTTATGTGTGAAAAGAATGGATTAGGTGATCAAGCCACGTGAGAAGCTGCTATTGTTAGGATATTAGGGAATTCAAATAGTTGTACCAAAAATGATGGAAATTATATTCTTGAATTCATAAATAACCTAGAGTTAAACAATTCAAATAAATGCATATTTGGTGGACTGATAAAGAGAAAAATCAGAGATGATGAGGAGTCATTCTGACTTCTGTGCCCCATTGTCATGCACTGAGATTCCACTGGCAATGAGAAAATATCTGTGAAAGTACTTTTTAAACCATGAAGTAAAAAGGCAATTTATCATTATTTTTCACGCCTTCTTAAGGACTGTGGATCAAGATTCAGTTGATTTGGATTGTTGCCTAACTCTATCAGCAGCTATTGTGTGACATCAGACAAATTGCTAAGTTTCTTTGGACTATACCTATAAAATAAAATTGGAAAACAATGGCCAGATCTATCCCATCTGTCCCGTGGGTTTTGTATAAATTATTAGAGAAGATCAGGAATGTTGTATACCATAAATTACAAAAATTATGGTGTACTACATGGTTCTAGGAGCACTGTTTATATCATGGTCTATGTGAATGGCATCTTTTGAAGTTATGCAGTATACAACTAACACAGCTGTGCATGGCATTCCTTCATAAAATAATTTAAGTGTCTAAGGGGAGAAAAAGTTCTTTTTTTTTTTTTTTAAGAAAAATATTAGGCTTGGGATGCCTGGGTGGTTCAGTCAGTTAAGTGTCTGCCTTGGGCTCAGGTCATGATCCCAGGGTCTTGGAATTGAGTCCCACATTGGGCTCCTTGCTCAGCCGGGAGCCTGCTTCTCCCTCTGCCTGCCACTCCCCTTGCTTGTGCTCTCTCTCTCTCTGACAAATAAATAAAATCTTAAAAAAAAAAATATTCTGAACTTAACATTCTGATTAAAAAAAAAAAAGAATATTAGGCTCTATCTGCTCTTATTAGGCAAAATACTGTTCTTATGAACCATGAGTATGAACCATGTTTACTCTAACATTATCATATATCCAGCTTATAGAATTATATATTTTGCTGTATGCATTTCACTTAAAGATATTAAAACAAACTAGTAAAGATGGCTTGTTGCAAAGAACATTTACCTATAAAATCACCAATCTAACAAATCTCATTGGAAGGATTCTTCCCCTATAGATCTTTTAAAACTTCTATCACTGATAGTTCAGTAAATTTTTCAAAAGTATCTTGTTATAAAGTTGAGTATATTACCTTACAGAATTTCTGAGCAGAAAGATTCTGGGAATTTGCATATTGGTTGGAAATCACAGACCTAATTGCATCAAGTTGTTACCTTTGGCAAACTTAGAGTTTTTGTGCTTGTGTTTAAATCCAAGCCAACACTGTGAAATCTGGAGCTTTTATCTAAAAATGCAAATTGCTAAATTCTTTTTAATGTAATCAGAATATCTAGCAACACTGAGATTAAATTCCTCCAGGTTTACCCTCCCTTGGCATCCACCCCTTTGGGTGTCGGCCTGTGTTCTCAGGCTGGTTCCTGCCTCCACCACTTCTTCGTTTCTTCCTCAGTTTGGGTTCTTAGTTATTATTGTGCTGTTGCTTTTCTCATAGGAAAGACCTACCCCTTATTACCCACATCTCTATGAAAAGTGGGGAAAATAAATGATAGTTGAGGAAGGCTGTGTGATTTTTTTTTTTTAATTCTCGAGGCTTTTTTTTAATTCTTTATATTCCTGGCCCTTTGATCCTTGCAATAAATAGGTTCTTTCTGACTGATTGTATATTAAAAACTTTATTGAATCTGTTTTGTACTTGGAATCTAATTTATATTGATTTAATAAGAGCAGAGGCCATTTTTGGTTCATTAGCTTATTTCCTAACACACAGGTAATACTGAAGGAAATTTTTTTTTAGTAAGCTTAAATGGGCAAATGAATGGCCAATTAATGGTTTATGGAATAAAGAATCATCGCATGTATTTTTATTTAGGCAAAATGTTTTATACTGTCTACCATCCTTCAGGACATTGAGCTTGGTTCAAAACCATCATTTAAAAATGGCAAGTAATCACATTCCTTCATTATTAATCCCAAGCCAAATCGCTGAAAGAAATATAATATTAATATTCTGCCTCACTGTTTCAACTTGATGATAACACCTTACCTAGTATTAATAGCCATGGGGTATGAAAGAAGGCAAAGATTAAAGAAAAAGATAGTTCTGAATAAACAGTGACAAGAAAAGTCATTATATACAATACCTATAAAATTAATATGTAATGATGATGCTTCTGATTAGTATATATAACTTATTCAAGGCTATTTTTATGAGAAAATATGATGGATATCTTTTTACTTTTTTGTTAAATAAAATGCATTGCTTTTCTTAAAACATACAAATTATTTATTATCAGTTTTATATAATCCTAATAGGCCTTGAATCAGGATTTGGGCAGAATATGGTGGCAATAAACATGCAAAGTTCTAGGGAAAACAGTCATAGTTAATTGTACCATATGTCTTAAGGCAAACAGCTCCCAGCTTTTTTTTGCTTTAAGATGAAATTTCCATCTTAAAATTAGCTCCCTACTTCTGATTCACAAACAAACTGTATCTAAAACCTTAAAATTATTAGAATTAAAAAATAAAATCTTCCCTTAAAAATTAAAGTTGAGACATAAAATATTCAAGTTTTATGTTAGCATTTATTTTTAAAACACAGTTTTCTTATAAAGCTATTAGGATTCTACTATTTAACCACTCTATTATTTAAACACTATATTACTAACTATACATTATTTTTAAGAGTAGGGAAAATACAAGAAAGAAAACACTCAAGAAATGCTATGCATAAAAAATATCTTTATGTTAATTTTACTTTGTTTTATTTTATGTTTTCTGTAAAAAGGAGGTAAAAAGTAGTTCAGGTACTTCTGCATCGGTTAACCAGGAAATATCCCCAAAGGAGAGAGAGGAAATAAGATTTTTTTCACTTTGAAATGGCTCACAGCAACGGGCACATTTGTACCGTTCAACATTATTCATTCTCCAGCTTTTTCCAGAATAAGGGAGCTTCCCAAATGTAATGGTGCACATAACTCATTATCTGGTGTTTTGCAGCCCGGCACAAAGAAGAAAAACAGAGCTAGGAATTTTCTGCAACTGAGTCCAAAACAGCCTGCAAGTTCCTACAGCAGTCCTCATTTCCATAATGTGTATGACACAAAATGTTTGTCAGCCACCTTTATCACCACCTTGACACTGGGCATTTTACTGTTTTGCTGACTTGCAGCTCAGTAAACTTAATGAATCATCATTAGAGACAATAAAAGAAGATAGAAACTAATAAACTGATTTTCTGTGGTTATCAGTAGAGGTCAATATATTCCCTCCAGCTTTATTTGGATTTTTTATGATCTGTAAATCGCAGAATAAAATTCTGATTCCTAAGTCTAGCTGAAGATCTCTCTAATAATCATGGAGTGAAAAATATCTAATGTTTCCTTTTTCCCTACACCCATTTTTTTTAGAGCATAATTTTATAACTATCTATTTTTGTTTTTGTTGCTTATGGTCTGAATCTTAGAGTGACATCATCTTTTAATTCCAGCTTTGCTTTTAAAGCATATTATATATCCATGAATCAAATAACCTACATTTTCAATATATCATTTATGTATAAGGAAGTATTCATTTGCAATCGTAAAGGTTCCTGTTATAATAATATAATAATACCATCATAATTATAATATATAAATACAATATAACTCTCATAATCATTTATAATGATATTTTAAAATAACTTGTATTTTACTATAATACGTATTTACTAGTCTTATGTTGGATCATAATATTTTTAAAAATACAGTATAATTATACAATGGAGTTATTCATTTATACTTGTGGAGAAAAATGACATTAGTTATTTATAGATAATTTTTTTACCTTTTGTCTTTTACAGGCTGAAGAAAAAGCTCATTCAGAGGTAAAATTCGTAGCATTTTCATATTGGACTCTTTCCATTTGTGAGGAAATGAATGTTTCCACCACTAGAGGGCTCTGTGATACAGTAGCATAGTTCTCCAGGGCTGCTGATGGAAGCAATCCTCTAGTTGATAAGGCCTTGGTATTTCCTCATAAAGAAAATGAAAGGAAGTTTTTAAAAGCAAGCTCTCCTCTCATATTCTAGAATGGAGTTTTAGATCAACAACTAACAGATTGCCTGTAATAGTAAGCACTCATTAAATCTGATGAATGAATGAATGTGTAGTCTTTCACATTTATTGTTGTCTCTTTTCCCCAATGCCTGTTGAGACCAACTGTATAGGATTAATGAAACTGTTGAATCTTAGGCACCAGACCTCCACAACAGAAGCTAGCAGCATCCCAGTGCATCTGTTTCATGCCAGGACTTTGCTGCTCTAATCACCACTTTATGTCTACTGTGATCTATTGTTCCAATCACATGCATTTCACAAATACACACTTGGTCGCAATCATGTACCAATCAGATTGCAACCTGGAGAGAATATTCTTTTTATTTCCCTTTGTAAAAGAATTGTCCTATCCAAGAAGAGCAGGACTTTAATTAGGCCTTTATTCAAGGTGTGGTAATGACTGTTTGATTGGTTTACACTGAGGCAATCAGACCACAGAGAAATCAATATCTTGGCAGTAGCCTTTGCAAAGGAACTCCTTGCCCTACTTTGCTTTTAAAGTAAAATTTGTGCTATGTTTAAAAATATCGAAATAATATTGATTATAGCAATTTGATCTTTATAATTGCTAGGCCAAAAAGTGAATATGTTTAAAAAAAAAACCTAAACTATTTTATTTATATTGCATGGACAGGACAACACTTCTAATTTGGTCATAATATGGCTACTGAGGTATACAAATGCTGCCTATTTGCCTGATTAGTACTTATCTGACTCCCCTTTGTATCATTCCTCCCCCTAATGGGTCTGGTTTTTAAAAAATAATTTCCATTATTTTAAGGTTTCCTAGATTACATTGTAAAGGATCATGTAATAGAGACTTTAATTTGAGAAAGGCTCTTTGGATCTATATTGGCTTAAGATGAAATAGATGGTCTGTTTTCTGGGACTATCTGTGGTCATTATTTGAATGCAGGTCAAGTTCTATTTGGGGGCTAGTGTATCTCTTTTTTAAAAAAATCAGGAGTGAGATGGAATCACATTTGCTTCCAGCTTGAAGTTCACAACTTTTTTGAGTTTCTAAATGTTGATTACCATTTCTTTTCCTCAAAAGAGGGGGGAGAAAAGACAATTAATGAACTGTGTCAAGAATGCTCTTTCAAACTGAGACAGTATTCTAAAAGTCCAACCACAACAACAGAAGACTTCTTTTTGCAGAAATGAGAAGAATTTGAGTAGAATGTTTGGCATCTAAATAACTAAGATCCCTTGAGACCAGAAGTCTAGTTGTAGACTTAGTCTCAGATGGTTATAGATGTTTTACCCTTACTAATTGGTGTTTACGTGTCTCAGGAACATGCGACATGCAGATTAAACTGCAGAAAGTGCTTATATTAGCAATTTAAATGTGCTATGAAATACTCTCTTTTTCTGGTTCAATTTTATTACAATGTGAACTTAGCTAAAGAGGAAGACATCTAGCATATTTATTTTGTTGGCATATCTAATTATTTGAACAGTATTACTGATTTCCCCCTTACTTTTAAACTATAGATAATCTATAAAGCATTTCTACTCTGAGCTAATAGTAACTCAATGAATAAAAGGCATTATAATAAAGATTTGGGAAGGCTTCTCTGACTGTTAGCCATTGAAACTCCAGCTAGTAAAATTATTTTCAAATATGGACTCAATATACATGGAATTAGAGCCAACTTTCAGTGACTACAGGATATTCTACAGCTTCTGAGAAGTTGCCAAACTACAGAAAATTAAAATAAGCACACACCAAAAAAAAACTGAGTATTTTTTGCTAAAACTCCATGCTAGAACATTCAGTACTTTTTGCTAAAAGAGGACCTAGAAAAAATGTGTACATGTATGTTTAATTTTTAAAAAGAAAATATTTTACTGCCTGAGTTTTATTATCACAAATTCCTTAAGCTAGAAGAATCAGTAGAGAAAGTAAACTGATTCTTGAGTCAGGCAGATAGGGCAATGGAGAAAGCAAGCATCCTTTAATTTGCACATTTGAGTCCTAACCTTAAACATATCACTTACCTCTCCTTACACGTGGCATTTGACTGTTACTATATAGCTAGGGCTCACATTTCTTTGGTTTTTCAGGAATTGGTGCTGATACACTAATTAAGGGGTTGCATGAGCGAAATATAGTATTTGCTTTCTTGGATTGAATTCTTAGTTTTAAGTAAAAATACTAGCGTATTGAGTTGATTTTTTTAAAATTACACTCAGCAAATCCACAAACTGCGGCGAGAGCTGGTTGCATCACAAGAAAAAGTTGCTACTCTCACATCTCAACTGTCAGCAAATGTAAGTCACTTTTGATTACTTTTTGATATATCAAAACAGATTTGTATGTAGTAAATGTGATAATTTTGGTAACAGACATACAAACTTTAAGTGTCCAAAAATAAACAGTCTTCAGTCCCTCCTATAAAGGTAAACTTTCCTGCACACTGAGTCATGAAATGTAAACCCCAATTGGTGTGATTAAAAGAGCTTTTTGTTTCTTCTAAGGCTGGGAACATTAGTACCAGTTTCAAGGGTTATTTATTTTCTTATGTCTCCTTTTTATTACTCTCCATAGATTCTTTTTTAAGCCACAATATGGTTGGGAGTTGATAGTGATTAGATTTGGAAGATAAACAATTCTATGCACCCTGCTTTCTTCAGCACGATTTACTGGCAGTTAGTTAAGCATCCAATTAATTCTAATAAATAAATAAATAAATAACTTAGGTCTAAACTTGGGTATCTGAATTATATTTTGAATGAGAGATAGTTCTCTTAAAAACCTTGGTAGCCTCCTCACAGCAGTTTGACCCACTGAAAGTGGCAAAAATGATGCCAATGGAGATCATTGATAATATTAACATTTACTGAATCTCCTTCAGTGTGCCAGGAAGTCCTCCGAATAGATGCAGAATAATACAGGGTAACATGTGGCATTGTGCCTGGTCCTAAGAAACAGTAGTGTTAGGAGCACCAGTGAGGGGTAAGGAAGCTCCCGCTGTTTTGCCATATGTCCTGCCACCTCCATTCAATGTTAATCTGCTCAGTCGGACCATGTAGTTTTGGGCCCTTCGTCTGCCTCACCAATCCCTGCTCTCCACTGAGGTTTTCTGTGTCCTGGACAAAGCATGACATAGGAGAGAGCAGGTGTAGGCCCATGGGGTATGACTTGATTAAGAGAGATTTTAAGGATAAAAATTATTGTGTAATATAACTTCCACAGCATGTGAGTCATTTCACTCACTGCGGATTCATTTTAGCACTCCATTTGAATGGATTTTATCTTCTCAACTTTGGGAGAATCAAATTCATTTGGGATTGTCTTTATTTATTTTTATAGATGTTGTTGGGGGATTGTTAAAAATAATAGCAGGTTTTTGATGTAGTGTTCCATGATTCATTGTTTGCGTATAACTACATCAAAAACTGATGATGTAATATATGGTGATTAACATAACATAATAAAAAATATAAAAATAATAGCAGGTTTTAAAGAATTTTTAGGCAATACTGGAAGAGAACAGAATTATTTAAGCTATAGTTTGTGTCTAAGAATAAGTCTTAAAGAAATAGTTAAGAAGCCGCTATAAATTTTATACTATAGGCTAGATGAATAATAGTATAAAACACTCTGTCTACGTTCCTGACTTTGTCCCCAGGGGACATATGACAATGTAAATGCCAAAACCACGCTGGGTTGTGTTTATCTGCAAAGAGGAAGGCTCAGTGACAGACCCTATGCATTGGATTATCAAGATGTTTGCAGATGTCTTTAATGACTCGTCGGGATTTTATTTTATTGTGTAAATGTCTCTTGCATGGGTTTATAAATGCAAATATTAGGATAATAAACATCTGCTATACATTATGGAATTTGGGCTTTTACTATTTTTAAAACTATTACCATTTCAAAAGCATTACATGCATGTGGTATTAAAAAGGAAAACTGAAACTAAAAGAAGAGTGTAATAAAAAAATGTATATTTGTTTTTCCCCCAGACACCCTTCCTAAATATGGTTGTTGGTTTGGGGTGGGGGGGAGTATAGTTGACACACAATGTGACATTGGTTTCAGGTGTGCAGCTTAGTGATTTGACAGATTTATACATTATGCTACGTTCGCTGCAAGAGTTGCTATCCTCTGTCCCATTACCTCACTAATCACTGACTTCCTCACGCTGTTTTTTATTCCTGTGACTTACTCATCCGTAACCGGAGGCCGTGTCTCCCTCTCCCATTCACCTATTTGCCCAGCCCCCCAACCCCTTCCCCTCTGGCCCCCATCAACTTGTTCTCTGTATTTATAGTTCTGGTTCTGCTTTTTGCTTGTTCATTTTTTTCAGATTTCATTTATGAGTAGAATCATATGCCATTTGTCTTTCTCTTTTCTCTCATTTGTATTTCACTTAGCATAATACCTCAAGGTCCATCTATGTTGTCTCAAAAGGCACAATCTCATCCTTTTTTATGGCTGTGTAGTGTTCAATTGTTGGTTTCTTATATTTCCTTTCAACATTGATATTTTTTATAGCCATGAATACATATAGCCATGTACACACTTGCAAAGGCTTGTACACATACACACACACACACACACACACACACACACACGCAGAGGAGCAACCAAATTATAACATAAGGGAGTAGTCCTGAAATTTGACTCTGTGCCATTGTTGGAGCAAAAATTTTTTAAAGGTGTCAGTCATTGGCTACCTACTACTTCTGCTCCAATCATGCATGCCACACTGATTTTCACTGACGTGTTTTCATGACTTTGGCTCATGTGTTCTCAGCGGAGTGTTGATATGACCACCAGAGGTTGAAAATTGGTTTTTGTGGTGAGAAAACTTACTCTTTTTATGCATAAAGCACAGTTTTACATAGAATACATAAGCAGGTATCCAATGTATCTATGGTATTAAGATGTCATGGAGGAAGGGGGCTATTAGGAAAAAGGCATCTATAATGTCTCCTCAAGGAACAATAATGCAAAATGGAATGAATACAGAATTAGAGGAACTAATGTCAAATAGATGATTTTGTTTAAAAAGTGCTGATCTTAGAGAAAATGCCCAAATGTCTCCAGCTTCCCCTAGCCACATCTTTGTTATCCTTAGTAGTGTCTTTTGCACAAGGATAGGAGCCTAAATTATATCCTATTTTGCATGCTTTTTTTACTTCATAATGCATTTTTAAATCTGAAATCACCTAAGAGCCATACAAAAAATTGTACATAGCAACTTTATTTTTAAAACATTGCGAACAACCAAATATCCCTTCATAGGTCATTGGATAAAATAAACTATGTTCTTATATGCAAACAATGAGTCATGGAACACTACATCAAAAACTAATGATGTAATGTATGGTGATTAACATAACATAATAATAAAAAAAAGAAAAAAGAAAAAAAAACTATGGTAGTTCTCTATCATGGATTACTACTCAGCAGTCTTGTATATCTATGTCAATTTGTATTTTTAAACATATAATCTCCTTTATACGTTTAGAAATTTGAATTACTCATAAGTTACCTATTAACTGCAAATTATCTTGAACTTACTGTCTTTAGCATTTGGTTTATAATGTCACTTTAGATCCCATAGAGCATAATGAGTCATCAAAGTAATTTTTAATTAATATTTTATTTTTTCTTAGCTCTAAAAAATACTGCATTTAAATTTCATTCAGAGAATATGTTCAGATATTCAAATTAACAAATTCAGATGCTTGTTAATATCTGTTGATGTGTGTAATATATACATATATTGTAATATACATGTACAGAAATTAAATTAATCATAAGACTGAATAAAATTATATCTGTACAGAACTCTTTTTTTTTAAGATTTTATTTATTTGGCAGAGAGAGAGAGAGCACAAGCAGGGGGAGTGGGAGAGGGAGAAGCAGGCCCCCCGCTGAGCAGGGAGCCCCATGCAGGCCTGGATCCCAGGACCCTGGAATCATGACTTGAGCTGAAGGCAGCCATTTAACCGACTGAGCCACCCAGGCGCCCCTGTACAGAACTCTTTAATAGAAGTCAAAAATTATTTTTAATCTTGTAATACTATTTGGAAATAGAGATGAACCTTGTATTTTTTTAGTTTCTTTAGACCAAAAGTAAACTTTCTACCTCTTGGTTAAATAAGATCACTACAGTGAGCATTGTTGTATAGAAGTGAAGTAGTAAAAGATCCATGATTTTTATAAGGATGAATTACAGTGGATTTGGCTCTGTAGAAAATATCATTAACTGTTTTTTTATTTAATGATCATTTAAGTGTCTAGATATTCATTTTTTACTCAATATTTTAATCATTCTATCAGGACTAAAATGATTTTCCTTAATTTGTTTTTTTGGTTTTTTTTTTTTTTTTTGTAATTGATCTGTCAATTGATCTGTGTTTGGGCCTGGCATAATTATATTTATAGAGAGTCAACACAGTAATCCATGTTTTAATTTTTAAATTTGAAACTTACCTGCTTCTCTATTAAAATGCTTTGTTCTCACTTTGTTAAAAGGGGCAGCAGTGGGTGCCTGGGTGGCTCAGTTGGTTAAGCATCTGACTTGTGGTTTTGGCTCAGGTCTTGATCTCAGGGTTGTGAGATGGAGCCCCATGTTGGACTCTGTGCTCAGTGTGGAATCTGCTTGAGATTCTCTCTTTCCCTCTCCCTATGCCCCTCCCCCACTTTCTCTCTCTCTCTCTCTCTCTCTCTCTCTCTCTCTCTAATAAATAAATAGATCTAAAAAAAAAAAAAAAGGAACAGCGGTAAATTAGAAAGGTGCCCAACCAACTCACTCCTCATTTGACTGGCAGAGTAAACCTCCATTCAGTAGAATGTGCACTGAGTCTTCCCATTCACTTGTGAAGTTCTCTGATCAGAGCTGCAGAAAGCCCTGGAAGGACTCTCTGTAAAGCACTTTCTACTAGGATGTCTTTAGAAAGGAGAGAGGGTATGTTGGCATATACTGCTGTCTGACCTTCCCTGGACCAGTACCCCACCTATGAACAGGAAGAAAAGAGGAGCCCTCCAAGCAAGCATCTGCAAATGTATGGTCATATCATGCAGTCAGCCAGGTGCCCTCTAGCCTCTCACCCACACCTTCCTACAGCCAAGTCAGGTGGGGAGCATTTGTTTGTGTTCTAATATATTTTGTTTACAAGTCTCAGTTCTTACGTATTTAGAAATGGGTACTAAGAAAAAAAAAGAAAAAAAAAGAAATGGGTACTAAGACTAGTTATTATTTCCATTTTTCATAGATACCACTGAATAAATATGTCACAAAGGGTCCTTTTTTTTTGCCTTTCAGCATATAGGTCTTTTAGCCAAAAATCTCTCGGGTGTTATTTTGTTTAGGATTGTGTCCTATTTTTTTGCTCTATTTAATATTTTTATGTATTCTGGCAGTTACTCTTACTTTTCTGTATCTCCTTTCACAGAAAACAATTTTGCACATATTAACAATGACAAACATTGAAGGAACAATTTTATAATGTGTAAAAATAATGTGAAACCTTATGATAATTTCAGAATCATTTTCAGTTCGTCTATTGATTTTCAAATGTAAAGTCACATTTATATACATCTCCATATAAATCTATGTATTTTTTTTTTGGTTGATGGATTGTCACTAAATTCTGGGTGAATGAATACAATGCAGGCATTTTTCATAATCTTTCATCTTACTGTTTAGCAGCACAGTAATTCTGTTTATGTAAAGATTCAGATTATATTATAGAATTCCAAAACTAAAGACAATATGTACTAGAAATACCTTCCCTTAACTAATATCTAGCCATGTCTATTTTATTCCCTTGGCAAACTGCACCTAACACAGGTCAAGGAGTATTAATTATCATATTGACACAATTTTACTGTGGTTTGAAAATTATGCAGCTGCTAAGAGAAAAGTCAGAACCAAGTAAACCATGATCAGTAGTCCCCCTAAAAATCCACAATTTAAAAAAAGTCATCATTTTATTAAGTTTCTCAGATAAGATCTATTGTCCTGTACTCAAATGGTTTTACTTTCCATTTTCTCTCCGTTGAGGTGACAAAGATCATCACTGGTAGGAATGGTTTCTGTTATTGGTTTCTTGGACTACCTTTCCATTAATCCAATTGGTGAGAAATTTAACCTTGTATTACCTTCAAAATAACAAAGTTAATCTGATAACCTAGGCAAGGCCACATAAATTTAAAGCAGTATTTCACTAACATACTTCTAACATATTTTTCATGGAGAACAATGCGACTCAAAATGTTCTTTGGTAACCAGTTATACATTTTCTTATGAATAATTAATGAACAGCAATGTTCCAAAGATTGAAAACTGACATTCTTATAGTGAACATTTTGTATTAACTAGTAGCTACAAAATACAGGCAGTATATTTATTCGACAAGTTCACATTCCTACTTTCTTTGTCATGTTTGAACTCCTGTTTAACTGAGAAAATATGCATAGAAAGTAAAGTAAAATTTTCTTCCAAGTTTATACATTCAAGCTTATATATCCGATAAGTAAGCCTTATAGTTATTTGGGAGTTAAAATTGCAATATTGAGTAGAATTTTGCATTTCTTTTAGTAAATATTAACAGTGGTTTCCGGCCAGAATTTTCACTATTCTAAAAGAAAATGAGTAATTTTATTTTAGGATTTAGTAACCCATAATATAGTCATAGCAGGATTATTGTTAATAACCTAAACTGGAATCAGCACAAATGGTCAATCATAGGCAAACATATTATAAATCACATAGAGCAATGCATTCCTGCAAAATCTAACTCCTGTGACACCCTACATGGGTGAATCTCAGAAACACAATGTTAAGAAAAAGAAAACAGTCACAAAAAAAATTGTGCCATATGATTCCACTCTGATAGTTTAAAAAATAGACAAAGCTAAGACATAGTGTTTAGGGATGCAAGCTTAGTGGTATAACTATAAAGAGAAGCGAGAAGATAATTACCATAAATGTTACAATACTAGTGGTCATTCTGGGGGAAGGGAGGGAGGACAGTAATAGGAGAAAGGTCAGGGAGAACTTCTAGGATCTGCAATTGTCCTACTTCTTGACTTGGCTGGTGAGTGTATGAACGTTCACTATGTGAGAAACCAGCGAGCTATGAATTTTCATTTTGTTCACTTTTAGTATGGTTAATATGGTTTAATATGGTTTTGTTCACTTAAAATTTTTTTTACAATAAAAAAGGTTATGTATGAGAGCATATATATATATATATATATATATATTTTATACATATATATATGTATAAAATACAAGAGTATTTTATAGTCTAAAATGTTTTCAATGACAAGGAATATCCTTGTCATTTGGTTATTTGGGAGTTGTGCTAATTTCTGATATATTAAGTCTGATGCAAGGATAACCTTGCATAACATAACCTTGTGCTAATTTCTGATATATTAAGTCTGATGCAAGGATATTCCTTGTCATTGAAAACATTTTAGACTATAAAATACTATTCCTTTTTTTTTTAAGAGTGTTATTTATCCTATTAAATCTGCTAACTAACCTTGGAGTATAATTCTCAAGGTTGTGTGTGTGTGTGTGTGTGTGTGTGTGTGTGTGTGTGTGTGTGAGAGAGAGAGAGAGAGAGAGAGAGTTAGTGGGGTAGGGAGATAGAGGCCAGAGGGAGTGGGAAAAAAATGAAGATTTGTACTGGTGGACTGAAGATTAATAGAAGTATTCTCCACAAATTATCTTTATATTGTTGTGTTGGGAAAAGGAAGGGAGCACAAGATAAGCTCAGTGCTAGGAACAGAGACACCTTTATATTGTGATACTATCGGAAGGGACTTGTACATTCTAGCTGTTACCAATAATGCAATAAACTTCTTGCTATTATCAATAATGGAATAAATGTCCAGTGCCCTAATTCTTTGGATTCCTGCCATCCATCTGATAATAGTTACCTTGGCCTTTCAGCTCTGCTAGAGTTACAAGGTGATATATTTTAATAAGTCCTTTTACTCCCTTCTCTCAAAAAATTAATCTTTGCCAAGGATTGCCACATTTCCCCCCACACATAGTTTATTATGGATGTAGGTTGTAAAATGTTCTATCATTGTATCTTCGGAAGGGCACAGTAAAATTCCATCGGTTTAACATAACATATCTGTGGTTCTCCTCAAGCAACTGTTGAGAGATTGAACACCTCTCCATGCTTAATATTCTGTGGGTGAAGCTGTTGGATAATGGCATGCCAACAGAAACTGCCCTATTCTAGAGCTGTAAGATTGTCAAATACTTCTTAATCATAAGAGTTAGGGTTTTATACTGTAATATGTATAACTCCCTGAGATTTAAAATAAAATCCAAAAGCCATGAAAACTTAAATAAAATATGACTGAATATTATTTCTAGCTGGCCTCCCTGCACTTCCTTAGTTGAAGGGAATAAAGTAGAAATAAAAGCCCTATTATTGAAAGGAGTTTGGAAAGTGAAGACAACTCTTTCTGACTCCATTTTTTGTATGCACAAAAAAAGGAAGGATAATGTGTTAGCTGTCAGCAGATGTCTGACACTTGAAGGAGAGTATCATTACAATGAAGGAGCTAACAATATCTCCAAAGGTCATCATGCAGGTATAAAAATGAGAAACATTTGTCCATTGACTATGGCAGTGACCTCCTCTTGAGCTCTAAGTCTAAAAACTTGGCAACTCAGAACTTTATTCAGTATTTTGGGTGTCAAATCCTCTGTGATATGCAAGTCAGAAGGTGTTATTATTTGCAAAATACCATCCCTTTTCAGAAGTTGAACTCACATTAAATGTCAAGAGACAGAAGCACTGAATTTAAACTGGTTTATTTTTATTATTTTTTTAAATTTTATTTTATTATGTTATGAGAAATGACATAAACAAAGATTTATGTTAAAGGAGAGTCATCATTGAAAGCTAACCATGGTGGTCATAGTATTTAAAGAGTTAGAATACCTGAAGTTAAGCATTTTATAAAATCAAGAGTTTTCATCCATCCATATAAGGTTCTGACATTTAAAATGTGTTCCTTCCATTTTTGTTCACAGGCTCACCTCGTAGCAGCTTTTGAAAAGAGTTTAGGGAATATGACTGGCCGACTGCAAAGTCTAACCATGACAGCAGAACAGAAGGTATGTCCAAGAATTGCCATGGGGGCTTGAAATAAGACAGCAAGTTGCATAGGATGTTTAAACAATGCATGAGATACAGCTCCTTCAACATAATGCGGCAGAGGATCCATTCCATACTAAATTGGAAAATGACAAGATAATACTTTTTCTTTTCAGATTTTAATTTCTAAAGACATATGATTCAGATTAATCCATAGTAGGACACACACACACATACACACACACACACACACACACACACACACGAAGTTCTTTCCAGGCAGTCTATTATTTTACTCGTGGTTGGACCTATTAAAAGAATACCAAATGTTAAGGAAGAGAAACAGTTGTATAGGAGAAGAGTTAGAATATTCTAGGAACAACTTGTTATGCAGTTGACAAGAATTGCACTCTGACAAGAATTCTCACAAATGCATGGTCTGTAAGCCCAGATATAGACCATGGCTGTAAGTGGAGATACCCATGGAGAAAGTCTGGAGGCGATGCAAGGACTCTACAAAGCAAGGGGCTCACATTACAGCATCTGTGGGACAAGAGACTGAAACACTGGTCCTGAACTGAAGTTTAGAAATCCAGAATGCTAAGTGAAGATTTGTGTCCTTTTGGAGTAATGGGGATTAGTTGGCATCTGGGGATGCTGTCTTTGAAAAGTCAAGTTAATTCATATCACAAACTTTAAAATAAACCTGAAAGGTTTTATGGAGGGGGAGAAGGAATTCTAAAAAGAAAGAAACAGAGAATTTAGTTCACGAGACAAACATATCCAAAAGGTTCGTGTTGCCCAGAAAGAATCTGGACACTTTCCGTGGGATGACCAGTAACTCACCTCTCTGCCATTATTTTGGTGACCCTAACCTGAGTCCTTGGATGGGTGTTAGAGACAGATGAAGTCTCTAAAACTGTATGGAAACATTTGTAAAAACTGCATATGTGCATAATATGAGCAGATGTCCACAGTTTTCATCTAATTTCCAAAGAGATCCAAAAATCTAAAAAGCTTTGGATATTTTCAGAATCAATACCCATATCTGTCCTGAGAGATGGCTTCAGTTTTGTCTTCAGTTCTGTAAAGTATGTCATTGGCTTTACAGAACTAGCATATGTTACCATTGGTCAGTTTACCATTTTTTAAATAAAAAAAAAAAAACCAGAATGAACAGACCAATTAAACTCAAGAGAAAATAAAATATTCCTGTAATATCCTGGTGTAATGAGTAAACTGTATTTTATTTGCCCTTATCTTTCATTCTTCTATTTCAAAGATTTCCCCTGCTTATGAGAGAGAACACTATCCATCCCTGTCAAACCTGTTCTGTAAGGGAAGATGGCAAACACCTTTTGAGCACAGGAATTTTATCTTCATCTTTTTTTAAGGGGGAGAGAGAGGCAGTCCAGTTTACCACTTCACTATGTAGCCTAAGAGCTCAGCAAACAGGATGACGAGGTCTTTGAGGGCAGCCAACTGGGAAAGAATATGAATGTTAGAGCCCGGGAAGCTGGAGTATGAATCTCGGGGAACCTCTTAAGAGCTGTGGAATCTTCTCTTGCTGACCCTCACGTCCATCATTTTAAAAGTCAGGTTTATAATAACTGCCTTGTAGAATCACTCTGAGGAATAAGGAAGATACAATATGAGGCCACATACAGTGGATAGTCAAAAAAATTGTTACCTTTCTTTACATTTATCTCCTTTTTTCCCCTAAAAAACCTAGGATAAACCAAATTCATCATTGGCCATGAGCCAGGCATATTGCTAGAAATCATGGTTAGTACTTAAGTCTCACTGTCTTTAAGAAATCAAAATTAATGTTTTTTACTGTCCCATATTTCCTTCACTTTTTTTATATTTATAAATAAAACTTCTCATAGAAATTGGAAAACTATGCATTTGTTAATTTATAATGCCTATGAATAATGCCTGAATGTTTTTAAATACATCTGCATAATACACAGAATTTTATAATTGTGTGCACATTAACCATAAAGGAACATTGCCAAAATTATAAAATTTTCTCAGAAGATATCATGATGTCTGAAATTGCCTTGCCATTTTTTAACTGAAAATAAAGTGATTGTTTGTCTCATTGCAAGCCATATGCACAAACAATGTTAGTAAGTAGTTTATTTTATTAATCTGAGATTTATAACTTGCATATTTCCAAGGTGGCTTTGGGAATCATAAAATTAATTGCAATATGATATGGCACAATTCAATAACAGAATCTAGTAAAAACAAGTAGAGGAATGTATATAATAAGATGCCTGAGCCTATGTAATTTCTACCACAAAGCACTGAATAGAATTGAATGTCAAGGAAGCTAAGGCACAAAGGGAGATTGCTTGGCATGTCTAGTTCTCATTTTCTGACCAGAAGAGCATAATTTAGATCGGAGAGACAAACTTTTTGGCACTGAATTCAAGGACAAATTTATTGTAAAGTTTCTTAAATTGGGGTCATGAAATAACAAAAGACAAAATAGCTGTTCAAATAGACATTTCTCTAAAAGCTGAGGGCATAACATTTAATCATATTTCAGTGAAGTCATTTCTTCAGGGAGCTGAGATAAAAGGGTATATTGCTCTCTGGTGATCCAACAATCCTGGGAAAAAGATTAGTGCATATAGAGCAGAGGTTTTGAAACTCTGTTCTTGGAGTTCCAAGGCTCATTTGTCCATTTAATCATTCACCAAAGTTATATTGAATTTCTACTGTGTATGAGAGACTGCCCTAGCTACTGAGAATTCAGCAGTGAAATATGTATATATATGTAGTATATATAAAGTTATATATACTACATATATGTATGAATTATTTATATATACATACATGCTGTTTATAGCCTAGTTTATAACTGGTTATAATATAAAATAGAGTTTATATTCCAGTAAGTGACAGATTATGATAAAAGTACAGGATTTCAGGTGAAGATAAGCACCACTGAAAATGTTAAGAGTGAGGATGTTGGGAGGCAAGGTGGGATGCTAACACATGAAGCAGCAACAGCCAAGATGGTTTCATGTTCTTGGCTACAGACTTAAGAACTGTTAATGAAACTGGGACTCAATTCCAAGTCTTTGGGCTTCTTCTAGCTTCAAAGTATGATTTTCAACAATCATATGGCATTAATAGTCCGAAAACTATATCAAAATGTTAGTTTGATTTATAGACCAAGCCCACTTCCTTGAATAGTGTCGTAAAATATTTCCTTGTTCCCAGATGCCGTACCTAGAATCCTGATTGTCTTGCCAAAACACTGCTTTTATACCTTTATAGCCTGGTGAGAAAGAAAGACGTATATGAATCACTCAGGAGGCAGAAAATTTGGGGTGCTGTTGGAAATATAATAGTATAGTGTCCTCAGCGTACTCATAGGGGACCCCTGCATCTTCACTTAGGTTCCAGAGTAGGGGTGTTATGGGGGAGCCCCTTTAGGTTCTAAGAGGAGGATAAAGATTAATTCCAGGAAAATGGGGGACTATGTGTTGTAGAAGAAAGGGCACCATGAGCGTGAACAGCAAGGAGGGAAATTAAGGGAGACATTAAGGGAAAAAGAAGGGATGTGGAGAGAAATGTGGAACTAAGCCTAGAAAGATGTCTAAGGAATCTGATCCATGACAAACAAGGAGCTGTTCCAAGGCTTTTGACTCTAGACTAACATGATAAAAGTTAGTTAATGAAGATCAATCCAGCCGCACTTCCTGATAGTTTAACAGCATCCTCAGTAGCCACGGGGAATGCTACATGTTACATAATAGTAAGTCTATAAGTAGGAAAAATTAAGGTAATTGTCACGAATGCTTGTTGGCTGGAGAGTGAAATTGTCTCTAGGTATTGCCCTGTACCCAACCTAAGGCATTACAGATTGTGACAGTGACATAGTCTGATCAAGAAGTTTACCTGGATTTATGGTCCTTGTCCCTTTATTAGCACTTCTCCACCAAGATTCTTTGAGAGAATTAAGACTTAATTAGTGAGTAAATTTTCACTCACTAAAAATTTATCATTAGAGTCAGAAAATACATTCACTAGGCTTTTGGAGCATAGGATAATTTGAATCCATGGTATTCATGGAATCAAGTTACTTGCACTACTGGGATTAGAGGAATTTAGCGCATTTTGTTAGAATCAGGGCTGGTTGGGTTCTTTCACTAGAAAAATTTACAAGATTTCAAGGCACACACATAATCGTGGGGAGTAGAACATGTTCAAATTAACTACAGCTAGATAGTGTAAGTTTAACTGAGTGTCAGTGTAAGGAAGCAAAAGCAGGTTCAGTGCAAATTTTTAAGAGTCTTGCCTAGAAGGTCAAGTTGGTTGATGAGATTTATTGCCAAGCTTGTAGAATTTTCAGCAAGGCCTGTGTCCAGGAGAAATTTGGAAAGAGGTCAGATGCAGTTAGGAAATTAGGTTGGAAAGGACACCAAGCAGGGCCAGTATTACAACAAAGTATTTGATCATCTCATTTTGAAGCATTCCAAGTCAGACCTTGATGACTTGTTTAGCTTCGGAGACATGTACAAAGCAGTTAGAAAAGATATTGACTCCATCCAGCTTCTTTTAATGAGAAACTCTCATGGAAAACTGGAATCTTACATGATCAGCAGGTGTTTGGGGCATCATTATCTTGAATAGCTTACTGAAGGTGAATGCAATTTTAGTTTGGTTCCCACTTTTGAAAAGTGAGAAAATATCAACAAAGTATGATCTGATCGTCTAGTCCCAAGATCCTGTACAGAATTGTCCTAGCCGCCATCTTCTCTTTGGTATATAATGAAGACAATGGAAACTGGAAACTACTGAGTTAGAAGAGGCTTTCAGTCCATATCTTGATGGCATATACATTTTCCAGGTTTTTTTCTGAAAGTTGAACAGTCTCAGAACTGAAGTATCTTCTATTTGGTCACCTTCAAAATAAAGAAACTAAATGAAAATATTTCAGAGTATCAAACAGTTTTATATTTGGCTATTTCTAGAACTCGCTTCTAATTATATTTCTGATCCACATTCCCCACCATAGCCAAAAAAAAGGAGGATTTCATAGTTGTACTTGGAAGCAGCATTGCAATTTCTAAGCATTATAGTCACCTTAGAAAAATATAGCTTAAGGGAAGCCTGGGTGGCAGAGTCAGTTGAGGGTCTGACTCTTGGTTTTGGCTCAGGTCGTGATCTCAAGATCAGGATCTTGGGGTTGTGAGATCGAGCCCCGCCTCGGGCTCTGTGCTCAACTTGGAGTCTGCTTGGGATTCTCTCTCCCTTTCTCTCTGCCCCTCCCATTTGGGCTCTCTCTCTCTAAAATAAATAAATAAATCTTTTTTTGAAAAAGAAAAATATAGTTTAAAAATAAATGTGAACCACCAACTGTAATTATGAAGGAGAAAAAAAGGAAGACTAGAAAAAACTATTATAAAACAATTTCTATGTCTCAGCCAAGTTTTCATTTTAAAGTGCTTATATTAATCTTTATATACTTACTGCTGGAAAAGAGAGAAAGGGAAACCTGACTTTGTTGCCATCCAAAGGAAATGATTTCACCGATTTAACCATATCCAGACTTTCTGTTTATAATGAATAATAAAGTCACTGATGTTTTAATATGGCACCAAAGGTGATCAAACACCCTCTTGTTAAAACATACATAGAATTGAAGCTTTACATTATTCTTTGAAGGGGAGAAACACCTGTTCAACATAGACCAGAACATTTGAACAAAATCATCCCAACATTTACTGAGATCATAAATCTCAGTGAAAAGACAAAGTCTACAACAACTAAATACGCTGAATGCATTAAATGATCTGGAAGCACAGAGAAGGGTCCTTTTTTTCTGAAGGGAAAGCTAAGAGGTTTCAAGCATATAGGCATTTCACCAGGGCCTTTAAGAGTGAGAAAAATACTTAAAGCAAAGGGAGAAATCATATGGGAAGACTCAGTGAAAGGGATAGCTCTAGTTTGAGTGATGTGGAAGGTGGATCTCATTAACTGAAATAAGAAAGAAGGAAGGGAATTTTGCAGATATGAAGAGATACCTAGTTCAGGTTTGGATAGATTATCAGTGTCAAATTTAACTATCTTTTTAATTAAAGACACTGGAATATTTTATAGGCCCTTGCTTATAAAGTTGCCCTGAAGAACTACTGATATAATTTGGCTTAAACTAATTTCTTCATATACGTGATTTTCTCAATTTACATAATGAATGTATTTGTTACCTAGTTATTCTTCCTTTGGGTCTATTGTGCCATGCTGAATAACAACTAACCTGTTAATATCTGTTGTTTATTTTAAAGATACTTAATTTTAGGGACACCCGGGTGGCTCAGTCTTTTGAGCGTCTGCCTTCAACTCAGGTCATGATCCCCAGGGTCCTGGGATCGAGCCCCACATCGGGCTCCCTGCTCAGCGGGGATTCTGCTTCTCCCTCTCCCTCTGCCCTCCCCCCCCAACTTGTGCCCTCTCTCCCAAATAAATAATCTTTAAAAAAAAAGACACTTAATTTTGGAAGTAATCATTCTTCTATCTCATATTAAATGTAGTTTTCTGAAAAAACAATATTCCCTGAGCATTCCACTTCTAATCTTTCTAAAAACAGTTTTGAGAAGAGATTTCTCTAGAAGAGATGAAAGTTTAGACATTGAAATAAGTCTAATTAAGCTGTATTTTTTAGACCTTTGTATGAGACCCCTCATTTCCATTTTTCTTCTTTCAACCTAAGGCCACATATTTCAGCAAATTTGTTAATTCACAGTACAAGAACTATTGTTTTTAAATTCAAGGATGAAAATCTGATTTTAATTAAAATTTAATGTGTATTCCAGTCTATATGTTGTAAAATTACTATTTAAATTATATGATTCATTAAGCATGCACTATAGAGCTCCTTTTGTGAAGTTTTCTGGTAAAGGTAGAATGAATTTCAGTAAACATTTTATCTATTGGGAGATTTATTTTAAATGGGAAATACATCAAATTTTGGAAAACTTATCTATTACTAATTGAGCAAGGGACAAAATTATAGATAGAACTTGGAGAGACTGAGAAATCATGATGAATTGGATCTGAATTTTGTATTATGGCAGTGGAAATTTTCCACAAACATGTTATTTTTCCTTCATGATAAATATATGCAAATTAAATTACAGTCAAATATTTGAAGATCCAGCTGTGAATCTAGGAGGTTGCTACCAATTGTTCATTATGAGATTCTTTGACTTATAAACTATTAGAAGTCTGTAAGAGGGTTTATTATTTTTTTTAAATATCTGTCATCTATTAGATAGATGTCAGATATCCAATGAAAATAGTTATAAAGTTGGTTATCATTTGAATTAGCGTTGCCCGTTTTTTTTATTTTTTGGTTCTTTTTTTTTTTTTTTTTTAAGTGCCTAAGGTTAGAATAGTCTCTGGATGTTCTTATATCTGAAGCTGTTTCCTCCAAAGGTGCTTGTCCTGATCTTACCTTTTTAATATATTCTGGGAGATGGAGAGTAGGAATAAACTATTTAATATGGAGTGAAGAACCTGAGCCTGATTCTTTGGATTGCTGCCAAAGATGATAGAGAAAATGCTCAATGACAATTACATTCCCTAGGAATTCTCCCTCTAAGAGGCTGACAAGAATTCTAATTTTTAGAGTTGCCGACACTGCCAAGACTTCTGGATGCCCCTTGTTTTTGAGCTCCTGAGGGAAATACTGCCCATGCCGAAACAATACTCTACTTCCTTTTTTGGAGAAGCGCATACATCCTATCTTCCTCATTTTTCCTCATAGTCATTTCTGATAAAACAATTCACTTAGATAACTGTGAAAAATCATTTATATGTTCATTGGGACACATCTTAAAGTTACCGTGAGTTCAATAAGAAAATAGATGTTTCATAACAATTTGATGTGTAAGGTCACATAAAAAAAGGTTTTTTTTTGATAAATTAGTATTATTTAAGGACTGTAGATTGAATGTATTTCCATTCAATTAAAAAAAATTCCTGTGTTGCTTTGGCTTGGTAAAATTGGATCTCCATACTAGCAAACTTACTGGATGAAAAGTATCAGAACCTAAGATGACCTTGATTTGCCCAGCAGAATTTAATAAGATGACATGTAGTAGGAGTGAGGTAGGGATGAGTTCCTGCTTTTATACTTGAATATAAAGAAGCGGTTCCCCAAGTGCAAAATAAAGGAGACAAAATATGAAGTCATTCATTCAATAAGAATTCAGGGTTTCTGGCTAACAGTAAATGCAATGTGAGGCACCTGTACAATTCTGCTAGGTAACTCTGTGATCTAATCATGGTGGTATTAGTAAGTGTGGTATAAAATGCACACTGTGATATCTTGCTTTATGTTGCACTGGTCAGCTTTAGGTGCCACCCTTTGAGAGGAATAAAGACTATTCAGATCCCATTTATAAGAGAATAACCAAGACACTTTTCTAAAATTCTCCTTACATTAGGTAAATAAGAAGTCGTTAGATGTGACTTGACAAGGTCAGTCTGGCATTCAAATCTCCCAGGACGTTAGCACTACATAAAATGAAACCCGTGTGATTGTGGATTGTGGATTATCTTTTCTCTCTAGGTACTAAAACTTCTAAATTCTGTTTGTTTCACAGGAGTCTGAACTTATAGAACTAAGAGAAACCATTGAAATGCTGAAGGCCCAGAACTCTGCTGCCCAGGCAGCTATTCAGGGAGCGCTGAACGGTCCAGACCACCCTCCCAAAGGTATATTGAGAAATATTGCCATTTTTCGTCCAATATAATAAGTACCTATTTTATTTTATTTATTAGAGAAAGGCTGCTTTTACTCAGTGGCACTACCTTTTAGAATGGATAACTTGGCCTTAATGCAGTCAGAATCCCAGAATTTAAGAACAGTAGCTTTCCTTATCAATAATTTTTTAATTAACCTTAAGGAATTTGCTTCTATAGTCGTACACACTTTTTCTCCATTTGATTTGGTGAGAGTGGGGGTGGGGGAGGTTACTTAATACATTCACATCTGACTTCAAGCAAAACACACCCTGTAAAGAGTGTGAAAATCCAGATCTGTAAACAAAGTAATCGATATGGTAAAGTATCAAGTAGTAGGTATGGGGAAGAGCTCATTCTGGGTGGAGGCAGTAAAAAAGGTACACTTCTTACAGAAATGTTAAAAATAGTAAGAAAAAGGACTAAAAGTCTGCTTTTCATTATTACTATGCTTCATCAGTTCTAAACAATAATAAAATAATCTTATTTGCCACCACACCCTCCTTAGCTTCCCACTGAAGAAATGCTTTGTATTCATGTCATGTCATCTTTTTTTCTTTGCATAGGTTCTACTTATTCATGTCCTAACTCTTTTCAGCAGCATTCAATATGCTCAACTCCTCACCAGCTTAAAAAAAAAAAAAATGCTTTTCTAAATCCTGAATGCCCTATCATGTACTTTCCCATTTCCTGGTGAATCCTAGGAACATTTTGTGGAATCTTTTTAATGTCTCCAGCAGCCAGTCACACTTCAGACCTCTGGAGGGTGGCTTCTCTTACCATCAAACCAGAACTGTTCTCTCCAGGATCCATAATGACTTTCCGGACACAAAATCCAGTACAACACTAAAAATTCATATTGTATTTGACTTGTAAATAGCATTTGATACTGATGTCCTTCCATTCTACCTGACATATTCATTTCTTCTAATGTTTGTAACATTCTCACTCTTAGTTTTTCTCCTGCTCCTTTGAAATCTCTTCCAAAGTTTCTTTTGCAAGTTCACTCATTTGTATCCATTTGTTAAATGTTGGTATTTCTTAGAACCCAGTCCTCAACTCGCTTCCTTTATGATTGGGTACTTTGTGATTCTCTTCATCCTATCCAAAAGTCTGTACAAACTCGTCTAATCCTCTGGCTATAATTATCATTTATGTGTTGATAACTGTCAAATATATCTCTCCAGGCCCTGCTCATATCTTGAGTTACAGATCTATAAATCTAGCTGCCCCAGAGAGAGCTCCATTTGGTTATCTCTGGATGTCTGTTTGTCATGCTAAATTCAACATCTCCAAATTTGAACCTGTCATCTTCCCTCTTAGCCTGCTTTGCCTTCAGTATTCCTTGCCTCAGTGAATGACACCACCATCCTTCCATATAGCCATAAATCTAGATGTCATCCATAAATCCTCCTCTCCTCATTCATTAAATCAACAAGTTCTGTTGATTCCAACTGTTAAATATCTCTTGGATCTGTTCCCTTTTCTCTCATCCTGTTATCACCATCCCTCATCTCTCCCCTGAACTATGACCAAAAACTCCTAAATCCTTCCTGCCTTTCATCTTATACCACTTTATAAGTGATTCTTCACACTGAAACCAAAGCAATTGTCAACAACAGGTATCCCATTGCCTTTAGGATGAAATACAAACTTCTTAACATGACATAATCTCTCTTCACCAGCTTTGTTCATTCAGCAAATATTTATTGACTGCCACTTACTAGCTAGACACTGCTCTAGACCTTATTCTCTGCTTTTTTGTCACGTTGTGTATTTCAGTTACCCCGAATTTCTTCCAGTTCTCTAAAAGTTCTTTATATGTTTTGGTTATATCTACTTAAAATTTTCTGCCTTGTTTGTTCAGCATAAAAACTTTTTGAGGGCGCCTGGGTGGCTCAGTTGGTTAAGCGACCACTTTCGGCTCAGGTCATGATCCTGGAGTCCCAGGATCGAGTCCCGCATCGGACTCCCTGCTCAGCAGGGAGTCTGCTTCTCCCTCTGACCCTCTTCCCTCTCGTGCTCTCTCTCTCTCATTCTCTCTCTCTCAAATAAATAAATAAAATCTTAAAAAAAAAAAACTTTTTGAGACCTTATAAGAGTTGGCCTAAATATGTCTCCTTGACGCTTAAGCTGGATGAGGTCCCCTTGTGATATCTTTCTGGAAATAACTGTACTTCTATCCAAATATGTAGTATACTTTGGTGCCTTAATTTATTTAAGGCCTGCCTTTTCTGATCAATGGTAGGGTGGTTTGTTTTTTCAATCCACGTGGCTATGATGATGCCTTACACACAAAAGGGGCTTATTTGAATTTTGATTTTTAAAAAATGTAATTTTTAAATACTTGAATTTAAATTTTAGGAAAAAATTATATAAAGTGAGATATACTTAAATTGAAGGAAAAACTAGTTCTCTAGGGGCTACTTCTGTTAAGAATTTAGCAACTTTCCATGTGGGAGAGTTGATTTATATGCCACATGGAAAATTACTGCATATTTAAAGCTTATCTTAGAGCTATAATAAAGCAGCCTATGTTCTAAATCTTTATGTCGTAAATAGGTCCAGAAGGGATTTTAAAAGGCTTAATCCTTTCTTTAACACAGTACAAGTCACTCAAGTAAAACTTTCTGGAAGGATTCTTTTTATCATAGGCAACAGGTAGCCTCATATACCTACTGGAACTGAAAAAAAGGAACTCCTCTGCTCAGAAATGTGGGAGGGATACATAAAATGAGCAAAATGATATAATCTTTGTTTCCATTAAGAATTTAGTCTTGTGGGAAAGCAGGAAATAAACAATTGTTGTGATCGTTGGTGTAGCTGAATATGTATGCCAAAATAGTTATGTTATAAAATGGACAAAATAGATGGCATAGAAAGCAAGAGTTCCACGCAACCTCCTAGAGGTTCATAGTCAGGGAATGCCTTTCCCAGATAACAACATTTAAGGGGAGCTCCAAGGAATAATGATCAACCCATCTGGTAAATATTGAGAGAGGAATATTCTAGAAGAGTCTTGAGATAGAAAATAGACTAGTGCCCTCATGGAACTGACACAATGAGCAAAGGTACAACACGTAGAACCAGGTTAGGGAGGTAAGTACTGACCAGATTACTGAGGGACTTTTGGGCCCTATTTAAGAGTCGAAATGTTTTCTTTCTTTTTAAAATGAGAATCTATTGAAGAGTCCTAAGTAAGGCAGTGATGATGTTTTCCTTTTAAAGAGAATTCTCTAGCTACTGTCTATTGAATGGTTTGAAGGTGAGTTAAGTGGGACAGCTATTCTTGCTGTCAAGCAGGCCAGTGATAGTCATAGCTTGAAGTGGGGCAGTGCTGGTGTCAAGGGTCAGAAGAGGAAATGAATGAACAAACACGTAACTGAAAAACAGACTTCTAAAATAAGCTTCTCCATTCACTCCTACTGTTGATATCCATTTGGTGAACCATTCTTTACTAAGCTCTATGATGCCACATGTACTGAATCAAATACTTACAAGCACTAGAAAGGAATTGTTAGAGATGAGTAAAATGCATTCCTTTCATTCCATGATATTATTGAAATCATTCCTTTGCTAATCTTTGTTGGTAAATGCCATCATAATTGAAGGTAGACAATACCTCTAAGAACTACTTTTGATTTATGATTATGAGAACGTAGCCATCTCCTTAAATTTTGAGGGTTAATCAAAGTCAAATGCAATTTATTTATTCTGGGTATAATAAAAACTCTGGAGTACTTTAACACAGTACAATTGCTTTATTTGTGAAAGTTGATTACTAGGGAAAAACCTAACAAATAATATATCTTGATCACAAAAGCTTGTAGCCAACTGCAGCAGAAATTTAAAACACAAATAAATACCAACATATTCTTCTTTATTCATATAACTTCCATATTCGTTGATTAAGGGATACTATGCTCCTTTATCAAAGTTCAATCAAAATAGCACACATAAATACATGCCTTGATTTAAGTTTTGACATTGGTAATATTTTGGGCATATAAATACAGTAAATATTCTCATCATTATTTTTAAGGTACTTTTAAGAGCCAAAATCTATGGATTCTGAAAATAGTTTTATTTTTTCCCTCCTATAAAATTTGTCAGCATAGTTATTATCTTAATGGAAAAATTAAGGTACTTACTGATACGTATGTATATGACTATAAGGTTAGAGATTTGTATACATGCATTACATGTCCACACATATAGTCACTTATTATATTTGAAAGTAACAGTTATAGTTTCATTGTCATGGGGTGTTGTAACATTAAATAAATCAGTCAACTGGAAGACTTTGATTTTATACTATTGTTTCTATGGAAACTTTTTGAAAGCTATATAGTAATTTCTGACATCTTAGAAGTTCCACTGAGATTTTTTTACTTGGCAAACCTTAATTGATGCCAATTAAATATAGTAATAGGTTTGGCCTTAAAGCAGATTTAACCTTAAAAACAATTTTATAATTTCTTAGTGTCTCCACTAGCAATTTCAGTTCACTGTAAGTAGATAAAACTTCAATTTCAACAACTATAAATAAATTGTATGGAATAAGTGGGTATCTTCAAAACGTGATTAAATATCAAATGTTATTTTTTTTTTCAAATTCTCTTGTGTGACTAAAGAAGCACGACATGCTGGGCGCCTGGGTGGCTCAGATGGTTAAGCGTCTGCCTTCGGCTCAGGTCATGATCCCAGGGTCCTGGGATCGAATCCCGCATCGGGCTCCCTGCTCCTTGGGAGCCTGCTTCTCCCTCTGCCTCCCTCTCTCTCTCTCTGTCTCTGTCTCTCATGAATAAATAAATAAAATTTAAAAAAAAAGAAGCACTACATGCTTTTGAGAAGTATGGCAAGCCTGAATCACATGGCAGTTAGCACAATAGATGTTAGAATCTGTCTAGGTGTCAGATTGGCTCTTCTGTGTTTCAGCTTTGTGACTCTGATGAAATTACTTTTAGTAATTAAACTTATGTCAGCGCTTTGCTTTAAGAATGAAATTAGATAAGGGGCACCTGGGTGGCTCGGTCAGGTTAAGCATCTGACTTCAGCTCGGGTCATGGTCTTAGGGTCCTGGGATTGAGCCCTGTGTCAGGCTCCCTGCTCAGTGGGGAGTCTGCTTCTCCCTCTCCCTCTGCTGCTCCCCCTGCTTGTGCTCTCTCTCTCTCTCAAATAAGTAAGTAAATTCTTTAAAAGAAGAAAAAAGAATGAAATTAGGTAATCCCAGGGCAGAGTAAACACATAGTAAAAGCTAGCTTTATTATTACGTGTTATTATTATTACTGTCATTACTATTCCAAGTCATGGGTGGAATTATGATGGAAGAATTGCACTGTCTTAAATATGTTTTCTGTTTAGTTTACACATGCAGCCTATGCAGTTGCTTTCTTGAGCACCTTTCCCTCACTGGCTCTTTGACCTTGGTCAAGTTACTTCTTTGTACTTCAATTTCATCATCTGTGAATTGAATTGCTTAAATGACTTCCAAGGTTTGTTTTGGCTCTATCATTGTATGATTCTATGAAATGGAAAATTAATATATTTAGCTTCAGTAGCTTTATTCAAAGCACTAATATTAAAAAGACACAATTAATTCTCATGCTATTATGAGTTTCCATTTACTCCACGGAAGTAATCATTTGGAATAAATCACTTTGGAAGATCTGCTTGATCCAGGTATTCAGTAGAAATCACTAGCATAGCATTTCATTTTTGGATAAAACTTGGAACTCATTAAACCACCAGAGCTACAAACTTATATGAGATGCCCAATGAATCTTAATGCAGATAACCCATTAAAGCAAATAAGGTGGTACTTTATAAACTTATAAAACCAAAACTGCACTGAAATGATCTGTACAAAGCCATGTTGACTTTTATTAGCAGACTTCCTCTCAGAAAGCCTCAAAGTCTTATTCATTCATAGTGAAAGTCTTTAGGAGCTAACGTGATGCTCTCTGTCTGTTGCTAGATCTCCGCATCAGAAGACAGCATTCCTCTGAAAGTGTTTCTAGTATCAACAGTGCCACAAGCCATTCCAGCATTGGTAGTGGTAATGATGCTGACTCCAAGAAAAAGAAAAAGAAAAACTGGGTAAGCCCTGGTCATTCATCTCATTCAAAAGCTTGTTAGTGCACAATGAGTCAGGTTTTTTTTTTTTCTTTCTTTTGAGCTTTAGAAATCTGTAGCAGTTTACAAAGAGTCTCCTTCAAGTAACTGGCCCTTGGAATGCTGTACTCGTCACCAAAAGTAGGGTGGCATGGTGCTGAGGATGTTTTAGTCAGGACTAGTCTTGGGTTTGAATCCCAACTCTGCCACTTACTACTTGCACCATAGGCAGGCAACTTCACTTGAGGGGGCCTACGTTTTCTCATCTACAAATATAGGATAATTAATACAGGCTTTTTGAAGTCATTATAAGGAAAAATAAGATGACATCTGTTACTAAATGACAGGGCAGAAGTTTACTGTGGGGATGAGGAAGAAGAAAAGATGGTGGTGTGGTGGTGATAGTGATGGTGGGGTTGGAGGAAGAGGAGAAGAAATGAATTGTAAAAAAAGGAAAGAAGAAACCTTGAAAGCCTCGCCACCTCTCACTTCAACAGGGCATAGTGTGGATAAAGCTTCACCTCCTCAGAAATCAACCACATTAGGGTCTGCTTTCTTTCTTTCTTTTTTTTTTTTTTTAAAGAGAATATAGCAGAAATACAGAGATGCACTTTCACAGAACAGTGCTTTACATTTGCTAGATATAGAATTTATGATGATATTAAGCAATTGCTAAAAAAAAAAAAAATCTGAAGGGAAGATGCTATCACAGCAAAATGTTTAAAAACCATGCAGTAAAGGATTTCTTTTAATACCATAAACCAAAGTAGTTTTTTGAATAAGTACAACTACTGATGAAATCCAGAACATAACTATCAGAGGATTTTGCTGGAGTGCCTACTATAAATAATGAAAGAAATATCTCTTTTGTTTTAAAAAAAATGTTTATACAGGTAATATTTTAAAATACTGATCAGCCTTCATTCCCTTGATTTGTAATTCCACACTCTTTCATGTTTCTGCAAGGTGAACTCTAGAGGAAGTGAGGTGAATATAAACCGTGGACAATTTGGCATGCATCTATAAAAAATACCCTATCTTGGCATGAATGCTATTCATTTTGGCAGTAGGCTTTTTATACCTTTTAAAAACAGATTACCTTGTATGTCTTTTCTTTGTGTCTTTTCATTTTAATCTCAAATTTTAAAGAGAAGAGGTAAAAACCACTTTCTGAATAGAGCTGTAGGGGATAACAATTCTGGTTTTGAATAGTACGGGAATTGAAAATTTGAATAGAAAATCACAATTAATGAAGTGTTAGGTGAATTTGATTTCATTTTGCTTTTTAAGTTTATACTGTCAGCAGGACATGACTTGATTGTAGCGCTAAAGTGGCCATTTAAAACAAATTGCCTTGAAGAGAGAAGCATTGGGAGTGGAGATCCCTTCAAGGTACTTAGTTTTAAATGAGTGCTCTGACAGCCATGCCCTTGACCCTGCACTATTTCAAAGCCTTCCGTGTTTGCGCTGCGCTGGATTAATATAAGAATAAAACAAAACACAAAACGCGGTATCATTTTTTTCTAGAGATACCGTGCTGCACCTGTTAATACTCTGCTTGTACATACTGACCCCAGGCAGTGGCTAGGATGGCACCTGCAAACTAACGCCCCAAAGCCAAATTCTCCAAATGCAAATAGACACGAAAGGTAATTTCTGTCCTCTTTTCAGCTGAGAAGCTCATTCAAACAAGCCTTTGGGAAGAAAAAGTCCACCAAGCCTCCTTCCTCACATTCGGACATTGAAGAGCTCACTGACTCATCCCTCCCAGCATCACCAAAAGTGCCGCATAATGTGGGTGACTGTGGGTCCACATCCATGAAGCCCTCACAGTCAGCCTCAGCGTAAGTCACTCCCCCTGCAGGATGCTGCAGTCTTTTTAAAAAACAACTTCAGGCCACGCCCCTGTTTGTGTTGTAAATGCAGTCAGGTTGTGCCTTCACAGAGGCAACACCATCTGTGCCGGTGTTTTTCCAATCTTCCTTAGAACTATGGACAGCCCTCGTTTCTCCTTCCCATTTCACATGTTAGAATTTGAGTGCTTTGTGGTCTCACTCTCCACTCTTCTGAGTCATCAGTCTCACTTCTTTTCACTGGCATTTGTCCATGTCTCTGTCTCACTGTGCATTCAATGCAGGTCACCCCTTGTCTGGCCACCAAAGAAACGGCAAAATGGCCCTGTGATCTACAAACATAGATCCCGGTAAAATGGCGTGTGATGCATGCAACTTGCCAAGTTCCTGGTTCTAACCTCAGCAGCATTTGCCTTTGCTCTTTCTAAAATCACTCGCATGCATTTCAACGATAAAAACCTCCTCTGTCTCCGGTTTTGAAGTCCAGCTTGTTTTCCTAAAACCAAGCTGTAATCCATTTGCCTTTAATTCCATTAGATAACCTAGCATACCGTTTTTACAGTAGCTCACCATTTGATGTTACAAGAATGAATGAAACCTTGAGAACGTAGAACATGTGCTCTGATGAGGTGATTCTCTGTTTTATATACTATTTAAAATCAAATTTCCTTGTATGCCCATGACAATGACTAGCGTAGAACTGTCATGTAGGACAGAGCCACTAATAGGACCATTTAAGACGCTTGGGTATCCCAGATAATTTCACCACTTATATAGGAAGGAGGAACCTAGCACTGTCATTTTGTAACCAACAACACAGCCCTCACATTTTAAGTGGAAAAGGTACTAGTTAATAAAAAGCAAGTTCTTGCATTGTATTTCCTGCAAAACTGCCCACAAAATAACAATAACAAAATAATAAGGAAGTAATGTATCTGACCTTCAAGCAGCCCTCGACTAGCCCGCTTGCATGGGTTGAAACCTGTGATTTAGCTTCATTAGCTTTGATCTCCTAAATCAGCTGAGCCTACAGGAGGATTATATAACGCTCATCCATTATTTAAATGTCCAAAACTCATCTCCCTCATTTATTTCCTACAATATTTGTATTGGATTTTCATGGTAACTTGAAGATAGTGTTGTGGCAGATAACGTTATACTTTACACAGTTTTGCAAAAAAAAAAAAAGAAATCAGTGTTTTAAGAACATTATAACTGCTTTAAAAATATTTCATAAGTTGCAAATAGAAATTTAGGTCCCTTGAAAAATGGCGGGATGAGATGGTGTAATGCTATGCAGTCCCATGAATATCAGCCACAAGGATATTTTGAAGATTACTTGGTATTGAGTAATAATGGATTATTTTTAAACTTCAGAAAAATGGGAAGAAAGGATTAAAGGAAAAAGACAGCTCCTGTTTTCTGTTTTGAACCTGTGAATGTATTACTGTTTGTAAAACTCTTTTTCCTTCTCTTTAGGTTTTGCCGGTAGCAAAGAACCTCTGTGGCTGCTGGATAATATTGCAGTTCAGCCTTAAAAGAAGCATCCGTTTTCCTGATCCTCTGGCTTCCCTCCCGATGACTGATTTTGTGTTTGGTTCCCTCTTCAGGATCTGTGAATGCACGGAGGCTGAGGCAGAGATAATTCTGCAGCTGAAGAGTGAGCTCAGAGAAAAGGAATTAAAATTAACAGATATTCGACTGGAAGCCCTCAGCTCTGCTCATCATCTTGACCAGATCCGGGAAGCTATGAACCGGATGCAGGTCAGTGCTGACGCACCTTCCAAGAGCAAAGAGGAGAGATGAAAAATACTATTTCGTTGCCACTCTTGGTTATTATAAAAACAAATCTACCTTTTAAACCCACTGTGGAAGCACACTCTGTTTATTCAATATTTGCACCTCATTTTCTAACTTTGAACGGAGAGTTTTGTCACAGCCAGGCTTGGAAGTGAGAGTACTGACTGGCCGGTCACACTCAAGGGCCATTCAAGACACCCGTACCAGTGATTGGATTCACTTGAGAGCTGAGTTTGTCGAGAAACTACTACAAGCCTCGTGCCTTCACTTTCCCATGATTTATCTTTGTGTTGGCTTTTCTCCCTTCTTTTGAAATCTGACTTTCAATTGCCTATACCTATTTTTTAGTGAGGAAAAAAAAGTAATGAGGAAACTACAGAAATTTAACACAAGCTTTCTAAATATGAAAGTAAAAGTGATGTAGAATGCCATCTGTAAAAGTAAAGCTTTTGTATTTTGGGGAAGCATCTGAAGGCTAATTTCAGAAACAGTCTGTGCTCAGACTGATTTTTCGTTTTATTATTGTAAACCTGTAATCCCTGGGTACCGCAGAGGACTGAAACAAGAAAAGCTCATTGCTGAGCAGATTTATCTGCTACTGTGTATATTCACCAAAAGGTCTTTGTGGTTTTTATGAGCCTAGTGCCCTCATTTGGAAGGAACAGAAACTTTTTCAGATGTTAGCTGGGGTTTTGAAGTAATTTTAAATCATCGTATTTATATTGTTTCTGTTTGACTCTGGTTTTCAACTTTTCATGAGTTCAGAGTATTACAAATGGCATTATTTACCTGTAGGATTTTAACAGTATGTTTAAAATGAGAAATTTTGGGATGCCTGGGTGGCTCAGTCAGTTAAGCGTCTGCCTTCAACTCAGGTCATGATCTCAGAGTCCTGGGATCGAGTCCTGCATCCAGCTCCTTGCTCAGTGGGGAGCCTGCTTCTCCCTCTGCCTGCCTCTTCCCCTGCTTGTGCTCTCTCTCTCTCTCTCTGTGTCAAATAAATAAATAAAATCTTTTAAAACAATAAAATGAGAAATTTCATGAACGCTTTAAATATTATTATTCTTGATTTAAATGGGACCAAGTCCTGGAAGACTCCTCAAATATATGGTATATTCAAAAAATACCTAAACAAATTCTAATGGTTAGTGCATCTATATTTGTGAATACATGAATATACATATATAAGAAAGAGAGTAAGTTAACTTCCCTTCTGTGGAAGGAAATCCTGTTTTCATAGTTTATATTTGTTCACTTAACATATCACCACATGCTTTAATAAACCAAATCATCAACGCTGATAAAAGCATTGGTACCATTTTCTCGCTCAAACTAGCTGGATTTTTTTTTTTCTCATGTTTCCCATCCTCACAACAGAATGAAATAGAAATACTGAAGGCAGAAAATGACCGGTTGAAGGCAGAAACTGGTAACACGGCTAAGCCTGCTCGTCCACCGTCAGAATCCTCAAGTAGCACATCCTCCTCATCTCCACGGCAGTCGTTAGGACTTTCCCTAAACAATCTGAACATCACAGAGTCTGTTACCTCAGGTAATTTTGGGCACACACCTGCCTGAATCAAACCATGACTGTGGCTTAGCGGGGGGGGGGGGGGGACTGGGATTTAGGGAATGTCACCCACCACTGTTCTCACCTTATCCCTCTTAGTTCTCGGGAATAGCCCCGTTCTTCTTTTAAAAATTTCTTCTCTGTTGTTATAACTTTAAAAGAACGTTCTCTGTGGAAGAGTGGGACTTAAGAGATCATGGTTTTCATGTCATTTAAAAAAATTACTTGTGCTTGAGAAGTACCTCCTTAATGATCACAAACACAATAAGGAAGTAATGTTCTCAGTGGTGCGCATTAGTACTTATGAGTATAATACTAGTAATCCCATGCAATTTTATAGTATTTTAAGGATACAAAGCCCATTTACGAGTGTATCAGGACCTCTCCGTAAATTTGATCAGATGATCTTGCATGATGTTGTCCAGAGAGAACATAATGCTACTATGTCACCCAGGGCACAGTTCTATTAAATTTCCAACAAATGAAAAGAACTTACTGGATTCTGTTACTGTGTTCAGGGGTAGTAATGATGGGACAGGGGTACAGTCTTATTTCATTGCAAGTAGAATCATCTGACATAATGTTGTCTTAGTATGTGATAAACTCTTCAGTTATAAAGTGTAACTGCTCCTATGGCAGTGAATCATTTTATGTATAGAAGATTTAGTTCAGGAGAGATTTACATGAAGATCTGTGGTAATTGCAAAGCATAGCCACCAGATGACGCTTGGAAACCAATGATATACATGTTCCTGGGTAACTGTAGATTCCATTATACAACTATACAGTTCTTCCCGGCTTGCCTTAAATTGCACTAAAATAGAGAAGAAGAAAATGAAGAAGAGAAACAGAGACCCAGCATGCTGTTACTGATTAAATTATTAATAAATCACATCTCTTCTAGAAAGTCAGAATTTTAATAATTCTACTGCTATATCTGCCCTTCATAATGTAAAATGAATGGCTCAAATGTATAACTTGGCTTTCTTCTTAGAAAAGACAAGTGAGAACTAAAAGGCAAGTAGGAACTCCCTGAAATTCAGGAAAACACTGTAACATTTGACAGGTATTGGGGAAAGGAAATGAATTCTGAGAAGAAGCATCAAATAAAACGAATATTAGTAGCCAAGAAGAAACAGAGATGTCATGATATAATGAACTTACAAATCATACAGTAAATTAGAGCTATGGGACGACGATAGTAACTTGAATGTGTAAATTGTAAGGTGTTATCACCCAAATTCTTCAAAAGATGCTAAAAAAGAAAAAACAAAACCTTTAAATGTACAGATTCTGGGAGCCCTGAGCAATTCCTATATGTTGGCTTGTTAGTGATGGGGCTTGTTGGTGATGAACCTAATGGAGAAGTGAAGCAGGGTCCACAGCCAAAGGCAGTCAGTAACTTTCTTGTCCTGGGTTGACTCCTAAGGAAAATCATGGGCTTGTACCTTACAGGATGGTGTCATGACAGGATTTCACTGCTTGTTACATGATTTTATCTCATGGAAATATAATAAGGCTTAAGGAGGCATAGTTAGTACTAAAGATAGTTTAGAAATAGAAGCCAAATAAAAATGAAACTAAAATTCATGTCCAGGAAGGACTAAAATTCATAAAGATAAAGATAAATTAAATAAATCAAGTATAGTTTCTGTGTTCATCAGACTGAAAATACTGATGTCCATGATTCAGAATTTGGGGCAAATTTTGGGGGGAGGGGGTTTCAAAAATGGTACTTTTTATTACTCATTATTTATTTGTAGTTCAATATTATTTTATTTCCCTAATTATTTCTCATTAGTGATAATTATATCTGAACTAACAAAACATTAAATCACATGAGTAGGATACTGTTTTCACTGCCTTCACTCTTATTTACTGGGTTCAAAATTAGAAATCAGAAGTGCCTTTACATGGGGGCTTTTTAGCAAAAGAACTTTCTAGGGTTCATGATTAATTTTTTTTTAAAAAGGTGACAAGTAGGCAGGAGTGTGGATAATTGACAAATGTTTGGTTCCTGAAATATAACTGCATATTCCATATATCCAGTAAAGACAGAAGTTTGAAAAGCCTTCATTTTTTTGGTCAGAATTTCACTTGATTGTAACCAGAATGGCAGATCTTTTTATTCTTCCTTCAAAATACTGACGGAGGACCATGACTTATTTTTTGTAAAGAACAAAAACAAAAACAACCCCCCAAAAAAACCTGAAAAAACACACATACACAGAAAACCTCAAATTTGCTGTTTTTCATTTTTTTCTTGGAGTTGTTTCTTCAGGTGATCATCTTATCAATATATTGGGAACAGGGGGAGACACAGAGTGAGTTGTGATGTGCTCCTCCCCTCACTGTGAAGAGAACGAGTTACAATAAACACATGGAGAAAGGGAATAATGGTTAGAACAGCTGACCTTATTAGACACTGAGGATAAAGTGCTGTAAAAGCATTATCTCTGTTGGTCTCAGTAGCCCTATGAAGTAGGTGTTGTTTGAGCCCCATTTCACAGATGAGGAGACCAAGATTGAGGAAAGAGACGATAATAATTTGTTCAAGATCACGTGACTAGTAGGAGGCAGAGCTATGAATCCAGTGCCTGACCTTTTCAGTCCTATATTCATTTTGCTTTAAGTAACCACATATGAGAAGTTGAGGGAGACATTCATTCATTTATTGGTAAATATTTACTTCACTGCTGTCGGGAGAAATTCCATATTTTAAGCACAGTTTTAAAAGTAAGCTTTTAAAGTAAGCTTTTACGTGCTCTTTAGCACGTAACTGAATTTCTTTTGTCCACAGAGCACCATATTCATATTAAACATGGCTCTATAATAAAATTATTGTCAAAGGAAAACATATATGTGGGATAGTTGACATTAATAATTATCCAAATTGGACATTAATCTCATATAATATATTTTGAAAATTAATCTTTAATTCCATTTAAAGGCTGATGCTTTGAAGGTTAGCTAGCTTTATCATGCTTCTGTAAGTCTTAGCTGATTACTAGAAATACTATTTTGGTTTTAAAACTATAAGCATATAGGGTATAGGAGAGTGATAATTAATGTGCTTCTGTAGGGAAGTATAATGCTATGGTTAAAATCCAATAACAGTACCTAATAATTATAGATATAAGGTAAGGAGTAATATAGCTGGATATATGCCAAATGCTTGAAAATAATATCACTTGACCGCCAATCTCAGCACCTTAGCTTTCATAAATTACATGGGTATTGAGCTTGGATATTTTAGATTGGATAGAAAAATCAAATTGCTTTTCTGTTTGTCACCGTTACAATGGTAACTGAATATTACTCAGGTATTCCTCAGACCTGGGTATGATAGAAAAAGAAACCCCTTATTTCCTCATCTGAAGACAATGGCCCAGCATGTGGGTGAAGATCTTTGGAGGCAGAAATAAATTCTTAGACTGAACCTTCAGTCCATCCACACTAATTCATCTTCTTGAAAGCTGAGATTTTTCAAACGAGTTAGGCTAGAATGGGAAAAAAAAAGGCCAAATATTCCCACTGAAAGCTATAAAACTAAGAGGAAGAAAACAATGAAAATAAACAATTCCAGGGCGCCTGGGTGGCTCAGTTGGTTAAGCCACTGCCTTCGGCTCAGGTCATGATCCTGGAGTCCCGGGATCGAGTCCCGCATCGGGCTCCCTGCTCGGCGGGGAGTCTGCTTCTCCCTCTGGCCCTCTCCCCTCTCATGTGCTCTCTCTCTCTCTCATTCTTTCTCTCAAATAAAAAAAAAAAAAAAAAAAACAATTCCAAGCTAATGTGACCCTATTGTGGGATGTGCGTGCGTGTGTGTGTGTGTGTGTGTGTGTGTGCGCGCGCACGCACATGTGTGCATGTGTGTTTATTTCTTTGAAAATTTGGTAGATGTTTTGCTAGATGATGCTGGTGCTGGTGATGCAACTGGACACAAAGATGGCCGCAGTGTGAAAATTATCGTCTCCATAAGCAAGGGCTATGGCCGAGCAAAGGTATGTTCTTAATCTTAAATTCTTTATTACTAAAGCATGAGCATGACCATGAATCAAATGTATTTTAAATTTGAATATTTTTCCTGATAGATATACTATCAGCAGTATGTGTCTTGTCATTGGCCTAATATGTTATAAAAACATGAAAGTTAGGGACTCAAAAAAAAATGGCACCATCATATAAGTAGAAATGTGGCTCGGTACATCACGTTCATTCACTGGTGACAATACTGGTTGTCATTCTCATTTCTATAACTTCAAAAAAGAAACATTGCTTTCTTTGACATCAACATCTTGTCTAACATTCTTTCGGTGTCACCTATAAAATACAGGTGATATTTATGATGTGTAGTAACATGTTACCGAGCTGTCAATATAGGAGGAGACTATAAGCTATATGAATATTCTAGATGCTGGAAAGATATATTTACTGAACTTAGTATGACAATTCCATTGATGCTACTTGTATGTATCATTTTTAAGCAAAGTCTAAGCTGATAAGGAAAATATTTTAACTTTTCTGGAACCAAATATTGCTATCAAATCGTGACTCAAGTCCTTTTTCAAAACTAAAAATATTATTTCAAGCTGAATTTGTAGTTGAGTGGCCAAGAATACAAATTTGTAAGTCTCTGAATTTTTTTCCTACCAAACAGAAAAACAAAAACTCCTTTGGAATTTTAAAACAGTTGAAGTAGTGAAGTTTGAAAAGTAAGATGGCACTTGTGAATTTTTACACTGAGCAAATATTCGAAGAATTCCAGTGCCATAAACTTTCCGCTTGAACAGCAGATTTATGCCTGGTTTTCCCAAGTGAGTCTTCATGCAAAAGACTGTAATAGTCTCAGTGAAGCTTAAACTATTTCTAATTTAAAAGCAGCTACTTACAAAGCATGGTGTGAGCATTCATTTTGACTGGGTTACAATAATACTGGAAAACAAGTTTTCTTTTTTTTTAATAATTCTTCAAAAGCAATGTTTTTGAATATCCAAAGTAGTTGTCTTAGTCTTCTTGGGCAGCCATAACAAAATACTATAGATTGGGTGGCTCAAACATCAAAAATGTATTTTATCACCATTGTCAAGCCCAAGATCAAGGTACTGGCCTATTTGGTTCCTAGGGAGGAGTCTCTCATTATATTGCAGATAGCCACCTTCTTGATATGTCTTCACATGTCCTTTCCAAAGTGTGTGTACTTGGAGAGAGAGAGAGAGAGAGAGATGAATATCTATCTCCCTTCCCCTGCTTATGAGTCACTAATCCCATCATGAGAGCCCCATTCTACTGACCTAATCAGATTTCCTCCTAAAGGCTCCATTTCTAAAAATCATCACATCGAGGGTTATGGCTCTAACATATGGATTTTGGGGAGACATAAACATTCAGTCCATAAGAGTACTAAAAAAAATCACAATGGTTTGCTGTGAATTTCTTAACTTTTTCTAGAAAAGGTATTGGCTTCTAACTTGGATTATATCTAAATGATGATAATAATCATTTACCCTTATAGAGGTGAGTGTTACAGAGGAAAAAATCAAGGCTCTGAGGTGGCTAAGTGTCTTACCTAAAGTCACATTTTTTTTAAAATTAAGTGATAGAGAGTCTGTGTTGTAGAATCCATATCTCCTAATATCTGACTCAGTTATTATTCTAACACCTCTTAAGGATGAATGCAGTTGGCGACCAGAATCAGGATTGTAACGTATCAACTAGCTAATTATATCTACTGCATCATGATCACTATTTTACATAACCATTTCCAGTCATTGTAGAAGAGGCTCCACTTAAACTATAAATCTTGAATTGTTTCTTTGTCCAATATATGTAGAAAGTACTCAAACTCCCATCCTACAAAAGGATAATAATAAATTTGGGACCATTCTTTGTATTGAAAAGGGATTCTTTGCTTGATACAATGAGTCTTGTAGGATTCCCTGACATGTTTTTTCAGTGAATTTTCTGATAAATTCAAAATGGGAACTGTTTTGTAAATATGTGCATGCCATGCTACTGTGGATAACACATTTTTAAAAGATGGATTAGACTTTAGGGGTGCCTGGGTGGTACAGCTGGTTATGAGTCCCTCTTGGTTTCAGCTCAGTTTGTGATCTCAGGGTCGTGAGATCCAGCCCCACTTCGGGCTCTGCGCTCAGTGGGGAATCTGCTTGAGATTCTCCCTCTGCCCCTCCCCCTCAAGCGCTCTCTCTCTCTCTCTCTCTGCCTCTCTAAAATAGATAAAATAAATCTTACAAAAAGACAGATTAGATTTTAGATATAATCTAAATTAACAAATGAGAAAACTGATTTTTAGACTTAACAAAGAGAGGATCAAAAATGAGTAAGATGAAGTTCTAGGGCTCTTATGAAATAGTTCTCTTCCATCTCTGTCACCATTTCCCTTCTACCAAGCTGCTTCTCTTCCAGAATGCACCCATTGCACTGAAGCAAAAGACGATTTTCCCTCCTACCAAACAGGTCATGAGTCAGTTTTCCGTACCATTCCACTTCATCTCATCTCTTTCTTTCTTGTTGTTACTTTATTTATTTGTTTAGTTTGTTGGGATATGTTTTATTTTATATAATATACCATATGTGTCTGTTACAATAAAACCCACAGGCTTAATAAACATTTTAGTCTTAATTATGAGTATATTAATATGTTTTAGTAGAAAATATAGTGATAAAACAAGACATATAATTAGGTTTTATCGTGTTTTATTTTATTCTTATTTAGGATCAGAAGTCTCAGGCATATTTGATAGGATCCATTGGCGTTAGTGGAAAAACCAAGTGGGATGTCTTAGATGGTGTAATTAGACGTCTCTTTAAGGTAAATTGTGTAAGATATCCTGATATTTTTGAATATGTTTTATTTTAGAAGCTTTCCTTAGCTTTAATAATGTAGACATATCTGCTTTTCCTCGCCCCCATTTCAAGCTTTCTCTCTTTTTGCTGTGTGATATTAATAATTCTTTTATAACCCATTTCAAAATTCGTGACGGCTAGCTTCATATCCCCATGAGTTTTGTATTTGTTATAAATGAGTTGAATCTCTGTTTTGACTTCCTTTTTGTATGTATCATTTTAGGAATATGTGTTCCGAATTGATACATCCACTAGCCTTGGTCTGAGCTCTGACTGCATTGCTAGCTACTGTATAGGAGATTTAATTAGATCCCATAGCCTAGAAGTGCCTGAACTGCTGCCTTGTGGATACCTTGTTGGAGATAATAACATCATTACTGTGAACCTGAAAGGTAAAAACAAAAACGAAAAGAAAAACACAACTGTATTTTTTTAACCAACATTTTCTTTCTTTTTTTTTTCTTTCTTTCTTTCTTTCTTTCTTTCTTTCTTTCTTTCTTTCTTTCTTTTCTTCCTTCCTTCCTTCCTTCCCTCTTCCTTTCCTTTCCTTTCCTTTCCTTTCCTTTCCTTTCCTTTCCTTTCCTTTCCTTTCCTTCCTTCCTTCCTTCCTTCCTTCCTTCCTTTCTCTCTTTCTTTCTAGTTTCATTTCAAATTTTCATATTTGAAAATATGTTATGAAAAAAATGTTAACTACATTGATAGTTTTAGTATGAAATGGGACATATTTATTTTAAAACACTAAAATCATAGTAAAAACACTAAAATTCAAGTAAATGAAATTCTTTGACTTCTGGGATGTGAAACTTGGAATGTAATTTTGAAGATTCTCCAAGACTCAAGAAAAGGAATGTGATTTAGGGAATTTCAAATTCCTAGATTTATTCCATTATTATCTTTCATTTAGGGAGGACTCAAAGAATTCCTTGCCTATCCCAAAGTAATATATTCATCACTGTATCTTTGATTTTAAAATATGTGTACCCAATAAATACCCACTGGGGATAGAGAATAGATGTTAAGAATTGGGGCTAAGAAATTCTGTTTGCTTTGGATGATGTGATTAATTATAGGCAAATGGAATATCTAAAGCATACTTGTCTCCATAATTCTTTGTTCATATATGTTAAAGAGTCAGAGCACATCTATAAAAACTGGATTAATAGAGGAATTTGCCAACATTTGATTTTGTGATTAAGGTGCTTGGGTTAGTAAAAGGAGATACTGTTGCTTTGCTTCTTAATGCCTTGCCAAATATCACAATTCATATTCTTCAAAAGCTTAAGTGGTTGTATAGCTGGGGTTTGTAATGAGACATAGAAGAGAATGAAGAGCAGAAAAAGGGAAGAACACACATACATTTTAATATTTACATTTATTCTTAACAAAACTGCCACCTTCAAAGGGAATGAAGATACTATAATAGAATTTAATGTAATTCTTCCATTTCTCTCTGGAAACATAAGTGGGAAGCCTAAAGTAGACAGTGGAGGGAAGCCTGAACAAGAGGAAAGAGCTTACTTTCATTTGGATGTTCACTCTGCCTTATTACTAATGCTTTTTGTCTTAAAATGGCAACACGTGGTTGTGAGCTAGAAATATCAAGGAAAGCATTTTACCAGGCCTACATTCCTATGACTAATAAAACTCTTTTGTCAGTTAACGCTATATTTTAAATTCCGGCTTCTGTAGAACAATAAGGCATGCTGTTCCCTTTGTTTCTTCCTTCAGGGGTAGAAGAAAACAGTTTGGACAGTTTTGTTTTTGATACACTGATTCCTAAACCAATTACCCAAAGGTACTTTAACTTGTTGATGGAGCATCACAGAATTATACTCTCAGGACCTAGTGGTACTGGAAAGACCTATTTAGCAAATAAACTTGCTGAATATGTAATAACCAAATCTGGGAGGAAAAAAACAGAGGATGCAATTGCCACTTTTAATGTGGACCACAAGTCAAGTAAGGTAAGTCACAAATTCCTCAGAGAATTGTTGCTATTTATCCATAAGGGTTTTAAGCAGTTAAGCTATAAGATTATGTGAAACCCATTCTGAACATGGAAACATACCATCTCTTTGACTAAAACTAAAATCTGGTGGATGACTCAACTCTGTTTCATGAATTTAAGCAAGACTACTTATTCAGTAACGTTCAGTTATAAGGTACTTGGCAAGCATTGGGAATATACAGAGGAAAATGACAGTCTCTGTTGTCTCATTTCTCTTAGACAACCATTTGGGAAGTGTTGGAGTAGAAAAAGATACAAGCAGAGTTCTGTAGAAGCAAGAGGGGAAAATAGAACTCTTCCTGGAAGAATTAGAGCTTTATAACAAGTCAATACTTGACCTGGGTCTTAATAAATACGTGGGAATTAACTGGGGTGTTACAGCAATGGGGATGTGGGTATGATTAGAATTGTCAAGGCAGAAGTTCTGGGAGTAGCAATTTGCTTACATTTTATTTCTATAGGATTTCTGCTTAGGCATCTTAGGAAATTGAACCATATTTCATTTTGCCATCAGCTAAGGTCTAATGTACCATAATAATCAGCTTGAACACTGTCAGCTATTAATTAGGCATGAGGGGGCTATAAAACCTAGCCAGTACTTTCATATATTATAAGTAAAACAACGAACCCTAAAAAGAAAATAGTTAATGTCTAACATATTCCTAACACTAGAATATTTTTGCCTATAAGTACTCATTACATTCTCAATCAGTTCAACCTAAGCTTCTCTTAGGAAACTGCATCTGGGGGCACCTGAGTGGTTCAGTTGGTTAAGTGGCTGCCTTCAGCTCAGGTCCTGATCCCAGGATCCTGGGATGGAGCCCCACATCAGGCTCCCCCCTCAGTGGGGAGCCTGCTTCTCCCTGTTCCTCTGCCTGCCGCTCTGCCTACTTGTGTTCCTTCTCTCTCTCTCTGTCAAATAAATAAATAAAATCTTTAAAATCTTTTTTTTTTTAAAGGAAACTGTTATGGGCAATATCTTGATGGAATCCATATGACACTGGGTCACGTTATTTTTCCAAAGATAACCTGGTTAGATGATCTAAACTGACCCAGCCTCTCAGAAACTTCAGGCCTACAAATTTTCAGAAATAAATGCAAGTTACAAAATTTGGATTGGATTCTTGAAATAAACTAGACATACATTTTAGTGAACAAAACATTTCTTAATGTTATGAACAACAATATGCCAAAAAAACTGAACAACCTAAGAGAAATGGAAAAGTGTTTAGAAACATACAACTTACCATGACTGAATCAGGAAGAAATAGAAAATCTGAATAGACCAATTACTAGTAAGGAGATTGAATCAGGAATCAAAAATCTCCCAAAGAAGAAAAGCTCAGGACCAGATAGCTTCACTGATGAATTTTGTCAAACATTTAAAGAAGAATTAACACCAATCCTTCTCAAACTCTTCCAAAAATTTGAAGATGAGGGGACACTCCAAAACTCATGAGGCCAGCATCATCCTGATACCAAGACTAGAAAATGATACCACTAGAAAAGAAAACTATAGGCAATATCCCCAATGAGTGTAGATGTAAAAGTTTTCAATAAAAATACAGCAAACCAAATTCAGCAGCATATTAAAAGAATCATTCACCATGATAAAGTGGGATGTATCCCTAGGATACAAAGATAGTTCAACATACAGAAATTACTCAATGTGACACGGCATATTAATAGAATGAAAACAAATCATATGGTCATCTCAATAGATGCAGAGACAGCATTTATGAAGTACATCATTCATGATAAAAACTAAAACAAATTAGGTGTAGATGGAACACATCTTAACAAAGGCCATATATGATAAGCCCACAGCTAACATCAGAGTCAGTAGTAAAAGGTTGGTAGCTTTTCCTTTAAGATCAGGAACAAGACAAAGATGCTGACTCTCATCACTTCTATTCAACGTAGTACTGGAAGTCCTAGCTAGAACAATCAGGCGAAGAAGATGAAGGAAGAAGAGAAGGAGGAAAGGGAGGGGGGAGTGGGAGGGGGAGAAGAAAAGTTATCAGAATTGGAAAGGAAGAAGTAAAACTGTCTCTATATGCAGATTTTATATATAGGAAATCCTAAAGACTCTACCAAAAAACTGTTAGATCTAATTAACAAATTTAGTAAAGTTTCAGGATATAAAATTAATATACAGAAATCTGTTATGTTTCTATACACTAACAATGGATTTTCTGAAAAAGAAATAAAGAAGTTGATCTCATTTATAATAGTATCAAAAATAATAAAATACTTAGAAATAAATTTAACTAAAGAGATAAATGATCTCTACACTGAGAACTACAATACATTGATGAAAGAAATTGAAGAAGACACAAATAAATGGATAGGCATCTCATGTCCATGGGTTGGAAGAATTAATATTATTAAAATGTCAATACTACCAAAAGCTATATATAGATTCAGTGCAATCCCTATCAAGATTCCAATGACATTTCTTATAGAAGTAAAACAAAAAACAAAAAACAAAAACCCACTCATAAAATATATATGGAACCCGAAAGACTCTGAATAGCCAAAGAAATCCTGAGAAAGAGGAACAAAGCAGGAAACATCACACTTCCTAATTTCAACTATACTATATAGTCATCAAAATAGTATGGTACTGGCATGACAACAGACACGTAGAATTGGCAGGCACAATGAAACAGAATCAAAAGCCTGGTATTAAACCCAAGCCTGTACCATCAACTAATATTGGACAAGGGAGCCAAGAATACTCAGTGGATTCTCTTCAATAAATGATGCTGGGATAATTGGATATTCACATGCAAAAGAATAAAACTGTACACATATTTACATTACTCAAAAAAATTAACTTGCAGTGGATTAAAGACTTAAATATAAGACCTGAAACCATGAAACTCCAAGAAGAAAACATAGAAATAAAGCCCCTTGACATGGGTCTTGGTAATGATTTTTTGGATATGACACCTAAAGTACAAACAACAAAATAAAAAATAAACAAGTGGGAATACATCAAACTAAAAACTTCTGCACAGCAAAAGAAACCATCAACAAAGTGAAAAGACAACCTATAGAATAGGAGAAAATATTTATAAGAACATATATATATCTGTGAAGGAGTTAATGTCAAAAATATAGGAAAAACTCATACCACTCAATAGCAAGAAAAGATATGACCCAATTAGAAAATGGACAAGGGACCTGAATAGACATTCTCCAAAGAAGATATATAAAAGGTCAACAGACACATGAAAAGATGCTCAACATCACTAGTCATTAGGGAAATGCAAAATAAAACCACAATGAGATATCACCTCATGCCTGTTAGAAAGGCCATCATCAAAAAAACAGGAGATAACAAATGCTGGTATGGATGTAGAGAAACGGGGACCCTTGTACACTGTTGGTGGGATTGCTAATGGATATAGCCACTATGGAAAACAGTGTGAAGGATCCTCAAAAAATTAAAAATAGTACTGCCATATGATCCAGCAGTTCCACTTATGGGAATGTATCCAAAGGAAATGAAAAAACTACCTCAAAAAAAAAAAAATGTTTGCCCCCCCCCCACCACACGTTCATAGAAGCATTATTTACAATAGCTAAGACATGGAAACAACTTAAGTGTCCCTGGATGGATGAATGGATAAAGAAATTGGGGTATATATACACATACACATATACATATATATGTATATGTATACACACAATGGAATATTATTCAGCCATAAAAAAATGAGGATATCTTACCATTTGCTACAAAATGGATAGACTTTAAAGGCATTATGCTAAGTGAAATAAGTCAGAGAAAGACAAATACTGTATGATCTCACTTATATATGGAATCTCAAAAAAAAAAAATTACCTGAGGCAGAGGTAGGGGGGACAGGAATTATAAGAAAATGGTGAAAAGGTATAAACTTCCAGTTACAGGATAAATAAGTCTTGGGATATAATATATAACATGATGACCATAACTAACACTGCTGTATGATGTATAGAAATGTTAAGGGAGTAAATTCTAAGAGTTCCCATCACAAGAAAATGTCCTTTTTTCTTCTTTCTCTTCTTTTTTTGTTGGGTCTATCTGAGAAGTTGGATGTTAGCTGAACCTATTGTGGTAATCATTTCACAATATGTGTAAATCAAATCATCATGCTCTTCACCTTAAATTTATGCAGTGATGTATGTCAATTATTTCTCAATAAAAAATGTTCTTAATGGAGTAGTTTATTAAATCCCTATCACTGACCAACTGTGGGATCTAAGGCAAACTGCTGAATTTCCTTTGCCTTGGTTTTCCCAGCTGTAATATTGGAAAAGTAGTAGGGGCATGGTAAGATCTAAGCGTGTGTGTGTGTGTGTGTGTGTGTGTGTGTGTGTGTGAGAGAGAGAGAGAGAGAGGGTGAGGGGGAGAGAGATACATATAATTAATGTATAATGTATTTCAATAAAGATTTCTTTCACAAATACCCATATAGATACCACCCCCCAAAATTTGATCAAAACTGTCTTATATGTCGTTTTCAAGGAGAACAATGATGTACATAAAACATGCTGGGATCTCTTAAATTTAAATAAATATAGCACATGAATTCCAAATATTCTTTGGAACTCAGCACCATTCAAATTTTTGTTGAACCACCCATTCTCATTTCAATGAAATAGAGACATGTAACCTGAGGCCAAATATTCAACTATTCTCTAAGCAGAAGTACCTAGAGCATAGTCGTTTGTTTGCTTCAGCCTACATGTTTAATGCCTCCTGTGAATTCTAGGTCTCCTCAGAATGTTATTTAAAAAGCGTTTTTACCACCATTCTTTTTCTTCTCAGCCAGAATGATGAAAGGATTATGTCCCTTAGCCGTCGTCAGTGTGTTCTTTGGATTTCCCCCAATGTCGGTATGACTTTAGAGGTGACTTCCTTATGAAAAAAAAAAACAAGTGGTTGGTAAAAGGAGAAGAATA